GACAGCCTGAAATCAAAATTGGAGTTTTGTGGTGTCTTTTAGTTTTGAGGCCATCTGTACACCAAAAACTTTTAGCAGATATATATCCGCATTGAAAATGTCCAATCTCTTCCTGGAAAATGAACTAAAATATTAATGCTGTCATCTCTTGCTCAAGGTTTAGTACAAATTTGTTGTCTAATGAAATGCTCTCAAACATGCAATTGCAATGACAAATGTTTAAAAAACAACCATGCATAAACAGTATTTTGTTAACTGATATAGTGATGTAACTTACAGTTAACTTACAAATTTGTATTATTTTACACTACAGGGCTACAATATTTTTAAAAATATTTTTTAAAGAATTCTCTTATGCTCAAGAATGCATTTATTGATAAGAAAATTATTTGATTACTATTACAGTAAAAACAGTAATATTGTGAAAATTATTACAATTTAAAATAGCTGTTTTCTATTTTAATGTAAATGTAATTAAAATGTCATTTTGCATCCATTACTCGTGTCTTGAGTGTCACATGATTTTTCAGAAATCATTCTAATATGCTAATTTGGCACTCACTTCTTATTATCATTGTTGAAAACAGTTGTGCTGCATAATATTTTTGTAGAAATCATGATGCATTGTTTTCAAGGTTCTTTGATGAATAGAAAGTTCAAAATTACATTACATTTTTGTAACATAAATGACTTTACTGTTAATTTTGATCAATTTAATGCATCCTTGTTGAACAAAAATGTATTATTTTCTTTCAAACAATTGAGGGTTTATATGGGTATTCCTTGCATGCTGAAAATGTGCATAGTGTACATTACTGCAAAGGTAGTATGAGTTATTCTGAAGGTATCCAGTTTCTATTCTTGCCATCTATGTGTTGTACTGTGTTATTAAAATGTATGGTGTGTCGTATGTCTCCTGCAGAGGGCAGTCATCACACTCGTGTCTCCAGATGTCCTGTATCTGTTCAGAGTGCAAGCTGTATGTCAGAGAGACCAGCGCAGTGACTTCAGCCAAACACTTTTATTCAAAGGTTTGTCTAAGTTTAAGCGGCTTTCTGTTCGTAAAAATTCAACATGATCAATTGCTGCTATTCAAGTCCTTCATTAGAACTGATTGTCATGCTGTGTGATTTATTCTTCAAGCAAACACCACAAGGATATTTGAGGGCACAAGGATTGTGAAAACTGGAATGGTGAGTAACTGGTTTATTTTTTTTAATAAGGCCTATTCACACCAAGGATTATAACTATAACAATAACGATAAAGGTATAGTTTTAAAAATCCTTCTAAAATTTAATTGCAGAGTTCACACCACAGCTATAATGATAACGTCACAGAGAAACAAGATCATTGGAATCACTTTCACAACTAGTTTTTCCAGCTGATGAACCATAAAACATTGAAAGCCGCCTATCAGAATCCATCCAGCTTTAAAGAGCTTGAGCATTTTAAAGCGGCAGACGACAGAGCTACAGCGCATGCTTATAATATCAGAACGTTATTGTGTGTTGGTGTGGACGCTAGTGTAGTGATCTTTATAGTTATCGACCTTAAGCCAGTTTATTGGTTTGTTTGCGCATGTTAGAGTATTGCTTTTCTTTTTCCACCCCATTCTAGCCCACAGTTTCCCCCGCCTCTTCGGCAGACATGGCCCCTATAAGCTCAGGCTCCTCTACCTGGACGTCCGCCGGCCTCCCCTTTTCCTTCGTCTCCATGGCAACGGGAATGGGGCCTCCATCCAGTGGAGGACAAGCCACTGTAGCATCTGTGGTGACCAGCACTCTGTTGGCAGGACTGGGTTTCAGTGGCAGTGTGATTTCTTCCCTGCCAGGATCGTTTTGGCCAACCCACTCTACAAACTCAGGCCCCACACCCACTCAACATCCAGCTACTCCCACTGCCGAAAGCACCCCATCTGACAGCAACATCCTGACCTCTGAGGACAGCACTGAAGCAAATAACAAACAGGAAGATGACCGTGAAAGAGAGGAGAAAGAGGAAGAAGAAGAAGAAGAGGAGGAGGAGGAAGAGGAACAGGGAGAAGAGAAGAAAAAAAAGGGGAAAGATGTGACAGTCAAGGACAAAAAGCAGGACAAGACGGTGCCACGAAAACCACCTGCCCCTGTCCCAACTTCAAAACACAGGGAGCCGGGTCGAGAGAGGGTCGATGTTAACACTGAGAATTCCACATTGGCCCCTAGAATAGTGGAAGAGCAGGTGCCTCATGCCACAGAGAGGCCTTCTGGTGAGGATTCATCAAAACCAACATGGCTGGAGGATAATGACACTGCACACATGCAGCTTCCCTCCAGCTCAACAGAGACCACCAAACTCACCAATGAGGAGAAGGCGCACTGGCCGTACTACATTCACACTGGTAGGTGAGCTACAGACTTGCAGTCTAAAATGGACAAATAGACCGTACTATTAAAATTAATAAATTGTCACCTTAAAATCACAAAATCACCTTAAATTATATTAAAATATATATTCATATATACTGACTAGTGAAATATAAAATGTTAAAATGTATTAATACATGTTCAAAAATGTAAAATAAATAAATAAATGCATAATGTAAAAATTTTTTTGAATTTTTCTGAAAGAAATTAAGTTTTATTCATCAAGGACGCATTCAACTGATTAAAAGAGACAGTAGACCGTTTTACACTGTTACAAAAAAAATCTATTTCAAATCAATGATATTCTTTATTTGAAAAATAATTCTAAAACAACTACTGCGATTTTCACAAAAATATTAAGCAGCACAACTGTTTTCGGCATTGATAATAAGAGATGTTTCTTGAGCACCAAATCAGCATATTAGAATGATTTCTAAAGGATCATGTGACATTAAAGACTGGATTAAGGACTGTTGAAAATTCAGATTTGCTATCACAGGAATAAATTACATTGTAAAATATATTAAAATAGAAAACAGTTATTTTAAATTGTAATAATATTTCACAATATTACTGTTCTTCTTGTATTTTTGATCAAATATGCAGCCTTGGTGAGACATCTTTCAAAAAAAAAAAATTTACCAACCCTAAACTTTTGAATGGTAATGGATGTAAATATTATGATGAAATAAATATGTATTAAAACTGTTTTAAAATATATAATAACATTTTATTAAATAATATAAAATATATAATAACAACAAAATTAAATAATATAAATATAATAAAATAAATAATCAGAAACTGAATATAAAGTTCTGTGTAATGTAATAAAAACTGTACATGGATTATTGTAAATGTATTAATTTTTGAATAAATTACTGAATATGTATGAATGCAATTGCAAGCATTTACCAGAATAGACTCTGTCCATCTAATATAAAATGGTTTAAAACTCTGCCTTTTGTATTTGTTACCTTGCTGTGGTCTCCTTTGACCACCATGCAGAGAGGAACAGCATCTCCACTGTCACCCGAGACCCGATGTCTTCATCCAGCCGGATGGAGTGGATCATCCCCCTGATGGTGGTCTCTGCCCTCACGCTGCTCTGTCTGATCATGCTGCTGGCTGTCCTGGTCTACTGGAGGTAAGACACTGTTGAAAAACCACAGTTTGTAAGGTAGAGATGAATTGGTTATTGACCAGCACATTGATCTTAGGTCATCTTGGGCCTTTCTCGCGATCTTAAGAAAGAAGATAGCATCTAAAATCAGTTCTGTTCATCTGCTTTCCTTATCTTGTAACAGCTTCCACATTTATCCACCTCATTTTTAGAGCTTTGGGTTTTTTGGTGGACGAATGCATCACCTAATTAATATTCATGACAACATGTTTTGTGGAGTAGATCCGTCTGGTCATGGTTGTGGCTGGTTTGTAAACAGTGTAAGGTTGCTCTGACCCCTGAATCCACACCTCATCTACCTCTTTCTACTCCATCTACTGGCCTTTATAAACCTGGCTCAGCTCCCTGGAGAGTCCCAGCCCCATCTGCCTGCCCTCTCCCGGACCGCTCTCAGCCCCGTGGAAACCGAATTAAAATCCTCCTATGGAGCTTCCTGCCAAATACCACCATCCTCCTGTTCAGTCTTGTGTTTGTATGTGAGCTAAGAGGTTGCGGGCCCCCTAGGGACCATGAGTCTTGTGTGGAGGGACCCAGCTGTGCTCCAATCTGTGAAGCTGACTCTTTGAGTGTATCATTTAAAATGTGAACACACAACAGTAATGCAACATTACATTAACAGATAAAAATGAAAGCTATTATATTTCAAATGTTTGTATGACATTATATAAAATTATTTTAAAATGTTATTTTTTGTATTTTATTACACTAATATTTTCAGTGTTATTTTTAATAATATTTACATATTATTATAATATGTATTACTATTTTGAATTCACTTTTATTTTTGTATATATTTATATAAAAAAAAAATTGTAATTTATTTATATACTTTCAGTTTTCTTTTTGATGTCATTTATTTTATTTCAAATTCAGTTTTTTGTTCTAGTAATTTTAGTACTTCAACTTAAACCAATTTCAGGTAATTTTTTAAGGTTTAAGAAGTTTTTCATCAAATATTCATATTTTATTTGTTATTTCAGCTTTATTTCAATCACTGAAAACTGTTTTTAATAGTTTTAGATTTAGTAATTTTAGTACTACAATTAAGCTTTTTTCTGGTAGTTGCCAAGGCAACTGTTCTAATTTTCATTCAAGTCTAAGTTCAAAATTTTCATCTAATATTCATATTTTATTTGAGATTCATTTCAATCTTTAATGGTATTCATTTTAGTACTTAAACTCAAATTTGGATTTAGAACTTTATTTAGATTTTATACCATTAGATTTTATATTTCAGTTATCTAAAACAATTTTTAGAGCTTTTAGTTTTAGTTAACAATACCAACACCAGCTTTACATGGCCTTATAAAGCACCGCTAAATTTTTTAGTTTTTGCCTGCAAGTTTCCAATTGCAAAACAATTACGTCAGCAGACAATTCATGGAACTTGAAAGGAAAACATAATAGCAGTTTGATTTGATCACTTGATGGCTTTATAAGAGGTTGATCAGTGACAGTTAAAGTGAATGAAAGACTGTTTGCACGGTAATCAATCTGTTAAGCGAGTGGAAGGAAGACAAGTGACGAGATGCAACTGCTCCCCCGAGAACGTGAAGGCATACGTCTTCGTCAAGACATCACCATTGTCAAATTTCAAGAACGTCAAGAACAAAGCCACCGAGCGAACAAAAGCCATTCAAAAGATATACCATTCTCGTTTTCTCATAGCTGGAGTTCATGCAGGGTGTTTACCAGAAAGTATGCAATTATTTGCTTAAAATGAAGTTATGATGTTGCCAAGGCGATAGGCTAATGAGCGGTTTATTTAGGCAGGGTTCCATCTGGGTGGCTCAGAGGCTTTCAGTCTGCTCAGACTCACAGATGCCCATTAAAGACCAAAGATGCTCCACTCATCTCCACGGTACATTTCTACACGTACGCATGAGATCGCCTATGAGTTCAAGCAATTTCAAAGTTGATGCATAGACGCAGATGGGGTATGATAAGAGGTTATATTTATCTTTTTACCATTCGCCTGTTGTGCATTCTCAAGGATTAGATCGCAGGGTCCAAAACTTCACTGAAGGACCCTTCTACACCATTAGTCTAACGTCTCTAAACACACGAGAGATCCCCCATCATAAAAAGGTCATTAGTGTAGGGTTCCTGTCCCCCCTCATCCTCTCTCCTCAATCCCCCAGCCCCCTCCTCCTTCATCGGAGCTCAAAGAACCTTCAGACAGTTCTTTCCTTTCTTTTTATCTCACCTCTCAAGGATGAGTAGCATCTGCTCATTGCTCTGCATAAAGTACAGGTAGGGGCATGCTTATACAAATGCTTCATGGGAATTACATGAAAGTAAGGATTTGATGAGTTTTTGTGCACTGAAAAGGAAATAGATTTTTAAAAGATTGATCCCAAAGCAGCAGGAGTTGCGTGTGCAAAGTTTGGCTGGATATTTGGTATCATCACTTTGCTGTTCATGTATATTTTATGAAACCTACAGTGAGAACTAGACGTTTGTGGGTGGCTGTATTAGCTAATGCATTTTAATTATGAAAATGTGCCAGTGATAGGCTTTATTATGCATTATGAGTTTGCCTAACTTTATTTTAAGGATCTTGAATGTAATTACTGTCATGCTGTTATATTCTTAATGTGTTGCCGTTGAAAATTTTCCAATTATTAAAGACAGGGTGTAACGCAATATAAAGAATTAGTTAAATGGATTTATCATTTAATGCATGATTTATATTAATAATGATAAGCTGATATATGTCTGCCGAGCTGATTCCATTCATCCGATATTTAGCCATTTTGTGATTTTCAGCATCAGCCGATACCATACACACTTGTACAATTAACAGAAATGTGTTTACAGCCGTGTACAAGGATATTGTACACATTCTCTTTTTTCAAATATTGAATTTAAGCCCCGTTCACACCAAGAACGATAACTATAAAGATAACGATATTAGCGTCCACACCAGCGAACGATATCGTCTGTTTATTCTAAGCGCACGCTCGTCTGCCGCTTTAAATTCTCGAGCTCGTTACAGCAGGATGGATTCTGATTGGCTGTCAATTTTTTATCGTTCATCAGCTGGAGAAAAATCGTTTCGAAAGTGATTCCAACCATGTCGTTTCTCTTTGTCTTTATCGTTGTAGTTGTGGTGTGGACTCTGCTATTCTTTAATATTGAGAACGATTTTTAGAACTATATCTTTATCGTTATCTTTTTTCGTCCTTGGTGTGAGCGGGCCTTTAAGCTAATTCATGTTAACAAAATTAAGTTATTTTGTGAAAATAAATACTTTAATAAGTTAAATTGAATAAAAATAATAATTCATAAATAGACAAATTAATTAATTAATTCAAATTAATTTTGCTTACAATTTTTTTTTTTTTAATCAACCAAAAGTCAAAAGGGCAGAGATATTGCATATTTTCTGTTTTCAAATATTTTTTTATTTTTTTATTATTATTATTGCTATTTTGTGACAATAAATACTTAAATAATAATAATAATAATGTATATAAAGTAAAACCATTTTGTGTAGAATTCGTGTGATTGAGTTTTATTATGTTTTTCGGTTTTTATTATGTATCACGTCATACATGTGTACAGTATATTTAGGCAGTATGCTTGGTATACTCATTCTTTTGTAGTAATGGACTGATATCAGAGTTGAGGCTAAAATTCTAGACTATTTCTTGAACAGAAACACGGGTCAAAACAGCACAAACAAGAGTGTACATGACATCTAAAGTGGTTTATAAATTAGACACTGATGTTAAGTGATCACTTAACAACAATTCTCAGCAAGCAGGAGGCTTCCTCAGAATTAAGGAGCTGTCTAAAATCATCCTGATTAACCTGCATTCAACTAACCGGGGGACCATTTCTGTTCTTAGGAGATTCTTCCAGACTGCACATTTGTATATTGAAGACAGGAACTCCCCCAGGGTGATCCACGATGACAGTTTCCCCATCCTGTCTACAGCGGGTGAGTTGCTAAACAAACATAAATGAGAATACAATGTGCTGCAAGAGCTTTTATTTTATGTAATTTCATAGGAGTTCTTTAGTTGTGATTTTATCAGCAAAGGTAATGCTACAATGGGAGGCAGCTGTCTATTTAGAGAGCAAAGCAGCTCAATAGGTTTTGACATGGCTATTTTGAATCTGAAATGGATCAATAAGATATAAGAAAGCATTACAGCAGAATGAATGAATGTTGTCAATACATTAATATAGTAAAAAATAATGGATGAAATTATATTAAAACCCAAACCCTTACTACCGTTCAAAAGTTTGGGATTAGTAAGATTCATTTTATTTTTGTTAGAAATAATTTTATTTTGCAAGGACACATTAAATTGAACAAAAGTGACAGTAAAGAATTTATAATGTTACAAAATATTAATTTAGCATTTTGAATTTCATATAAATGCTGTTTTTTTCTATTCATCAAATAATCCTTAAAAAAAAAAAAAAAAGGATCATGCTTTCAACAAAAATATGAAAAGGCACAACTGTTTCTTGATCACCAAATCAGCATAAGGGTCATGTGGCACTTAAGACTGCTGAAACATCACAGAAATAAATTACATTTAAAGTATATTCAAATAGAAACAGTCATTTTTGTAAGAACATTTCACAATATTTCTTATAGTACAGCCTTGGTAAGCATAAGAGACTTCTTTCAAAAACATTCAAAAAATTACAGACCCCAAACTTTAGTACAGAGTACATTTTTCCATGGTGCTTTGCTCAATGTTCACAATGCTCTTGTGGATAAGGACTTTCAAACTCAGATGATAGGTTTGTGTGGGGAAGAATATCTCTTTTGTATTTCATTGCAAAATTAAAGTCATATTGATTTTGAACTGCATGAGGATGTGTAAATAGCGACAGAATTTTCATTTTGGCTGGACTCTTTTAATGATAAGCATTCCTATCTTGCGGTTTTGTCGGTTGTTGAGTGGATGCATATTTTATGTTCTGCGTGGTACTGTTTGTCAGCGGGCGAATGGAAAGTCTGGTTGCTCACTTTGGGGTAGTGCATGATTTTCTAAAATTGCATGAACTGCTGTCAGTATTGCCACTTTTTTCTCTCTTGCCCTCTCTCTCTCAGTTTCTTTCCTCTCCTTCGGTCTCCTCATATGACGCAGTGCAGCTCTTGCCTGACAGGTCTATATAACTGTAAGCCAAAAGAAATAAAACTAGCCATTAATGTTTATGAGAACTCCATTTGAGGTGATAGTTTAATGTCTCTGCTGTAATAGAGAAGTCATCAAGAGAAGTCATCAACAAGCCCTGTTAAATTGAAGAAGTCGTCTGTCTGTGCATGTCTCAGTGATTTAATAAGACAGAATTGTTTCTGTTAATTGCATAGATACTGAATACAGAGTGGGGGATGAATTGATGTGTGTTTGAGCATCCTTCACAATGGCAAAGCAGTAAATGCTCCAGGGGATTCTGGTCTTTTTTAAATATGGTCCCAGCTGTTTGCTTCCCAAGGCTGTAATGAACCATACCTTTTTAAGGCCATTCTACGTGACAATAGACCATCAGTCCAGTCCCTTTCTTTGATAGATCACTGATGAGCTTTCTATGACACAGATGTGACCAAATATCATCACTCGGGCCACAAAAGTAGGGCGGATGGATTTTGGTTCAAAGTCTTTTGTCATTTGGAACAAGGAAGGTTTTTATTTTATTTTTTTAAGCTTTTATTTTCCACAGGGGTTTGTTCCTTAAAAGTGAAAGTGGATATTTTAAAATGACAAATTGAATTAATGAATAGTTTGACTAATTAATGGAAAAAAACCCAGCATACATTATCATATGCAGTCACAAAAAATGTATGCTAATTGCATTAATCTGATGATTTGGTATATTATTAAATATTCTGTAAATGTATATTTTGGTCTATTTAATGAAAATATACAAGTTTTTATTTAAGGTAAATTAATACTTTTATTCAACAAAGATGCATTAAATTGATCTGCATTGCTACAAGTAAATGCTGTTCTATTGATTTTCTGTTTGTCAAAATATCTGGGAATCCTATTAAATCAAATAATATCTGGGAATATCATGAATCACGGTTTTCACAAAAATATTGAGCAGCATAGTATGCATTATTCAAAATAATTACATAATATAATAATGTATTTGTATTGGGGAATAATTTAATTTAACATTATAACGTAATACTAAGTTTATATTTTTAATTATTAATCCCTGTCCCCAAATATGAGAAAGATATATAATATTTTTATTTTATTTTATAATTTAATACTGTTTATATTTTTTTATTTTAGACATCTATCCCTAAATAAGAGAAAAAAATCATTAATAATATTTTAATTTACAGTGCCCTCCACTAATATTGGCACCCTTGGTAAATATGAGCAAAGGTGGCTGTGAAAATAAATCTGCATTGTTTATCCTTTTGATCTTTCTTTCAAAAAATTCACAAAATTCTAACCTATCATTGAAGTAAAATAATGGAAAGTGGAGAAAAAAATCTCATTATGAAATAAACATTTTTTTTTTCTCTAGTTCACGTTGGCACCCAATTATTGCAACGTCCTTTTCCCAAGATAACAGCTCTGAGTTTTCTCCTATAATGCCTGATGAGTTTGGAGAAGAGATCAGAGACCATTCCTTCTTACATTGTAAGATTTCTAACAGAGGCAGTCAGGTTTAGATTTTTTATCTGCTGGTATTTGATAAATCCATGATGCCATGTATCTGAACAAGATGGCCCCTTTTTTTTTTTTCTTTTTTCTTTTTTTTTTAGCTTCGTCTGACTATAGAAGCCAGTCCCATTTGAAGTTCCAGTCGTGTATGGCAACTGAATATGCTGAATTTTGTTTTTGGATGAGCGAGGATGATATTGAAACCCTCCCGAACAACATGTAGGGGCTGTTTGATATATACATTTTTTAGGCTTAACTAGTCTCTGCAATTGTCCAGCTGTGATCCTTGGAGAGTCTTTGGCCACTCAAACTCTCCTCCTCACCATGCATTAGGATGATATAGACACGTCCTCTTCCAGGCAGATTTGTAGCATCGTTAGTTGATTGGAACTTCTTAATTATTGCCCTGATGGTGGAAATGGGGATTTTCAATGCTTTAGCTATTTTCTTACAGCCACTTTCTATTTTGTGAAGCTCAACAAGCTCTTGTTCTTGTTCTTCTTTGGTTGGTTCTACTCCTTGTGATGGATGATTAAGGTGATTATATATCATATTTATTATCCTGTGGAACAGGAAGTCATGGCTGGACAATTTCATGCTCCTATTCACCCTGTTGTGCTAAAAAAAAAAATTTAAATATGAATGGCAGATATTTTACTCGTAAGAATTTCTAAGGGTGCCAATAATTGTGGCCAACATGCATTGGAGAAAAACAATTATTTCATAATGTGAGTTTCCCCCCAATTTCAATTGTTTTGCTTCAATGATAGGTTAGAATTTTGTGAATTTTTTTAATGAAAGATCAAAAAGATAAACGATGCAGATTTATTTTTAAAGCCACCTTTGCTCATATTTACCAATGCTGCAAATATTAGTGGAGGGCACTGTAATATTATAATTTATTACTATATTTTTTTTATTATATAAAGCCCTATTTCTAAATATGAGACCATTTTAATAATTTTTTTTTTATTTAATATTATATTTTAATACTAAGTTGATAATTTTTTTATTATAAACCCATGTCCCTAAATATGTGGAAATAATAATAATAATATTTCGGGTGTTTTTAATGCATTTATCATCAATTTATATCAAAATGTCTGGCTTTAAATTGTCAGTTGTAGTGTGATGTATGTATGGTTTGTGTTTCAGATGACCTGGAGGCTGTTTCAGTCAGGCAGTTCATCAAACACATCATGGAGCAATACTCCAACAACCAACATGGCTTTTCTCAGGAGTTCGATGTGAGTATGGTCTTTATAGTTGGAGCGTGTGAGAATGTGTGTGTATGTGCTCTGTACGTGTACCCTCCCAGTAGGTAGCACAGAGGCACAGATGGCTATGGCAAAAGGACTAATTAAAGAGGAGCGCCTCATTAAAATTACTCCTCTCGCTGGAGGAATCTATGCAGGAATGCAGGGAAGCTTGAGTCTGCTTCATGCCCACAGCAAACATTTACAAGATCAGAATCCAATATGGACACATCCAAAAGCAAGACCTGCATCTCTTAAAGAAGATTTACTTAAAAACTTTTACAATTACCAGTATCTGAGATGCAGGAGGTATCAATTCGTTACAGAGGTGCTTTGTTTTACAGATATAGAAAGACGGAATCTGCACGACAGATTAATATCTGCTTCATTACGGCTCACTGGGGAGTTAATTATTATGCTGGTGTATAAAATGTATTTAAAATTGCATTGATGTGACAATAATTAAATGATTTGGACAAATGGGGCAGTTTATGTAAATTCTAATCAAAGTGTGGCTAATTACTGGAATAATTAACTAATTATTTTGTAAATGAGTCTTAAATAATTTACCAATAATATGGTCAACAAATTTTCAACAAACCAGTTTAACAGGACTGCATTCAGAATTAAATAATCAAAGTATTCATCTGTTTAAAAAAAAAAAAGTTACAATTGTCACAACCTCACATATAACCCATGCGAAATCTAGTTATCATATTAGAGGGATTTTTTATTTTTAATCCAAGTTGGTGTAAAACCTGTAGACAGTCGAATTAAACATTGAATCATGTTTTTTTTTTTATTGCTGATACTGTTTACAGTTTGTCACATGGGAAATAGATGGTGAAAATGGTGAATTGGTGTGTTGTTTACTACACTTTACATCTGTGTATTCCATACTCACAGAAATCATGCATATTGTGCACATATACATGCTCTAAATTGCAGAAATAGGATGAGTAGCATAGTAGTATGCGATTTTGGACATAGTGTAGTCTGTGAATTATAATAACTGCAACTAATAATTTGAAATCACACCTTCCCTGCAGGAGGTTCAACACTGCACATCTGAAATGAAGATTACAGCAGAACATTCAAATCAACCAGACAACAAGCACAAAAACAGATACATCAACATTGTTGCCTGTGAGTTGATTATTATGTGGCAAACATGAACATTTACCTTCTTAATCATACTGTGAATTCATCTGTGAAGAAGTGCTAGCAGTGTGCATGCAAGATGAAGATAAAAGATATTAACATCCATTTAATATCTCAAATTCTGATTCGAATGATACATCATTTATTGCTTTTTAATTCCCAGATGACCACAGCAGAGTGAAGTTGCAGCAACTGTCTGGGAAAGACTCCAAGCACAGTGATTACATCAATGCCAACTATGTAGACGTAGGTATTTTATTACTAAGTGCATGCTTGTTGCTTTAATGTTTGTTTTATAATTAAATATTCTCCCTCTCAGGGTTATAAAAGACCCAGGGCTTATATAGCAGCTCAGGGCCCTCTGAAGTCCACATTTGAGGACTTTTGGAGAATGATTTGGGAACAGAACACGACTGTGATTGTCATGATCACCAACTTGGTGGAGAAAGGCAGGGTAAGTGATGAATAACCGTTTCATTTTTTAAAACAGACCATGCTTCCACAAAGTTTATTTAATATGCATTAGCATAAAAACGATTTGAGAGTTACGGCAGAGAATTTGAAGGAACGGTTCACCCAAAAATCAAAATTGCAGAAAATTTACTCACCCTCAGGCCATCCAAGATGTAGATGAGTTTAAGAAATTTAGCATTACATCACTTGCTCACCAATGGATCCTCTACAGTGAATGGGTGCCGTCAGAATGAGAGTCCAAACAGCTGATAAAACCATCATAATAATCCACAAGTAATCCATAGGACTCTAGTCCATCAGTTAACATCTTGTGAAAAGTTGTTTGTAAGAATCCATCATTAAGATGTTTTTAACTTCAAACCATTACCTTCCGCTAAAATAAGAGTCATCTATGCATAATGCTTTCACTAGTGAACGATCGTTTGAATCAGTAGAGAAATACGCACAGATTAAGCATTGTTTAAAAGTGAAAACAGTCCAAAAACAGTACTAAACTATTATGTTGGTGGATTTTGATGCGAGTGCACAACAGGGGATTGACTTTTTCACTGGAGGAAGTGCTATTATGGATTATAGACTCATATTTTGGCCAGAAGCGACAGTTTAAAGTTAAAACGTCTTAATGATGCATTTGTTTCTTGCAAACGAGCAGTTTTACATTTCACAGTATGTTAACTGATGGACTGGAGTCATGTGGATTACTGTGATGTTTTCATCAACTGTTTGAACTCCTGACCCACTCAAACTCTCCTCCTCACCATGCATTAGGATGATATAGACACGTCCTCTTCCAGGCAGATTTGTAGCATCGTTAGTTGATTGGAACTTCTTAATTATTGCCCTGATGGTGGAAATGGGGATTTTCAATGCTTTAGCTATTTTCTTACAGCCACTTTCTATTTTGTGAAGCTCAACAAGCTCTTGTTCTTGTTCTTCTTTGGTTGGTTCTACTCCTTGTGATGGATGATTAAGGTGATTATATATCATATTTATTATCCTGTGGAACAGGAAGTCATGGCTGGACAATTTCATGCTCCTATTCACCCTGTTGTGCTAAAAAAAAAAAATTAAATATGAATGGCAGATATTTTACTCGTAAGAATTTCTAAGGGTGCCAATAATTGTGGCCAACATGCATTGGAGAAAAACAATTATTTCATAATGTGAGTTTCCCCCCAATTTCAATTGTTTTGCTTCAATGATAGGTTAGAATTTTGTGAATTTTTTTAATGAAAGATCAAAAAGATAAACGATGCAGATTTATTTTTAAAGCCACCTTTGCTCATATTTACCAATGCTGCAAATATTAGTGGAGGGCACTGTAATATTATAATTTATTACTATATTTTTTTTATTATATAAAGCCCTATTTCTAAATATGAGACCATTTTAATAATTTTTTTTTTATTTAATATTATATTTTAATACTAAGTTGATAATTTTTTTATTATAAACCCATGTCCCTAAATATGTGGAAATAATAATAATAATATTTCGGGTGTTTTTAATGCATTTATCATCAATTTATATCAAAATGTCTGGCTTTAAATTGTCAGTTGTAGTGTGATGTATGTATGGTTTGTGTTTCAGATGACCTGGAGGCTGTTTCAGTCAGGCAGTTCATCAAACACATCATGGAGCAGTACTCCAACAACCAACATGGCTTTTCTCAGGAGTTCAATGTGAGTATGGTCTTTGTAGTTGGAGCGTGTGAGAATGTGTGTGTATGTGCTCTGTACGTGTACCGGTGCTCCCAGTAGCACAGAGGCACAGATGGCTATGGCAAAAGGACTAATTAAAGAGGAGCGCCTCATTAAAATCACTCCTCTCGCTGGAGGAATCTATGCAGGAATGCAGGGAAGCTTGAGTCTGCTTCATGCCCACAGCAAACATTTACAAGATCAGAATCCAATATGGACACATCCAAAAGCAAGACCTGCATCTCTTAAAGAAGATTTACTTAAAAACTTTTACAATTACCAGTATCTGAGATGCAGGAGGTATCAATTCGTTACAGAGGTGCTTTGTTTTACAGATATAGAAAGACGGAATCTGCACGACAGATTAATATCTGCTTCATTACGGCTCACTGGGGAGTTAATTATTATGCTGGTGTATAAAATGTATTTAAAATTGCATTGATGTGACAATAATTAAATGATTTGGACAAATGGGGCAGTTTATGTAAATTCTAATCAAAGTGTGGCTAATTACTGGAATAATTAACTAATTATTTTGTAAATGAGTCTTAAATAATTTACCAATAATATGGTCAACAAATTTTCAACAAACCAGTTTAACAGGACTGCATTCAGAATTAAATAATCAAAGTATTCATCTGTTTAAAAAAAAAAAAGTTACAATTGTCACAACCTCACATATAACCCATGCGAAATCTAGTTATCATATTAGAGGGATTTTTTATTTTTAATCCAAGTTGGTGTAAAACCTGTAGACAGTCGAATTAAACATTGAATCATGTTTTTTTTTTTATTGCTGATACTGTTTACAGTTTGTCACATGGGAAATAGATGGTGAAAATGGTGAATTGGTGTGTTGTTTACTACACTTTACATCTGTGTATTCCATACTCACAGAAATCATGCATATTGTGCACATATACATGCTCTAAATTGCAGAAATAGGATGAGTAGCATAGTAGTATGCGATTTTGGACATAGTGTAGTCTGTGAATTATAATAACTGCAACTAATAATTTGAAATCACACCTTCCCTGCAGGAGGTTCAACACTGCACATCTGAAATGAAGATTACAGCAGAACATTCAAATCAACCAGACAACAAGCACAAAAACAGATACATCAACATTGTTGCCTGTGAGTTGATTATTATGTGGCAAACATGAACATTTACCTTCTTAATCATACTGTGAATTCATCTGTGAAGAAGTGCTAGCAGTGTGCATGCAAGATGAAGATAAAAGATATTAACATCCATTTAATATCTCAAATTCTGATTCGAATGATACATCATTTATTGCTTTTTAATTCCCAGATGACCACAGCAGAGTGAAGTTGCAGCAACTGTCTGGGAAAGACTCCAAGCACAGTGATTACATCAATGCCAACTATGTAGACGTAGGTATTTTATTACTAAGTGCATGCTTGTTGCTTTAATGTTTGTTTTATAATTAAATATTCTCCCTCTCAGGGTTATAAAAGACCCAGGGCTTATATAGCAGCTCAGGGCCCTCTGAAGTCCACATTTGAGGACTTTTGGAGAATGATTTGGGAACAGAACACGACTGTGATTGTCATGATCACCAACTTGGTGGAGAAAGGCAGGGTAAGTGATGAATAACCGTTTCATTTTTTAAAACAGACCATGCTTCCACAAAGTTTATTTAATATGCATTAGCATAAAAACGATTTGAGAGTTACGGCAGAGAATTTGAAGGAACGGTTCACCCAAAAATCAAAATTGCAGAAAATTTACTCACCCTCAGGCCATCCAAGATGTAGATGAGTTTAAGAAATTTAGCATTACATCACTTGCTCACCAATGGATCCTCTACAGTGAATGGGTGCCGTCAGAATGAGAGTCCAAACAGCTGATAAAACCATCATAATAATCCACAAGTAATCCATAGGACTCTAGTCCATCAGTTAACATCTTGTGAAAAGTTGTTTGTAAGAATCCATCATTAAGATGTTTTTAACTTCAAACCATTACCTTCCGCTAAAATAAGAGTCATCTATGCATAATGCTTTCACTAGTGAACGATCGTTTGAATCAGTAGAGAAATACGCACAGATTAAGCATTGTTTAAAAGTGAAAACAGTCCAAAAACAGTACTAAACTATTATGTTGGTGGATTTTGATGCGAGTGCACAACAGGGGATTGACTTTTTCACTGGAGGAAGTGCTATTATGGATTATAGACTCATATTTTGGCCAGAAGCGACAGTTTAAAGTTAAAACGTCTTAATGATGCATTTGTTTCTTGCAAACGAGCAGTTTTACATTTCACAGTATGTTAACTGATGGACTGGAGTCATGTGGATTACTGTGATGTTTTCATCAACTGTTTGAACTCCTGACGGCACCCATTCACTACAGAGGATCCACTGGTGAGCAAATGATGTAATGCTAAATTTCTCCAATTTGTTCTGATGAAGAAACGAATGCATCTACATCTTGGGATGCCCTGAGGGTGAGTATATTTTCATATTTGGTTGGACTATCCTGTTAATGTAGATGTTGATGTTTTAAAAAGCAAAACAGAAGATGCTTTTGTTGTTTTTACAGAGGAAATGTGATCAGTATTGGCCATCAGAGAACAGCGAGGTTTATGGGAACATAATGGTGACTCTGAAGAGTACTAAAGTTTATGCTTACTACACACTCCGCCATTTCATCATGCGCAACACCAAACTGAAAAAGGTGCGTTTGAGCATTTGTAACAGTGTTTACAGAGCATTGAAGTTGTAGATGCTGCAATTTGACCTTTGGCTTGACTCTTCCAGGGTCAGAAGGGAAGGCATAATGAACGGCTGGTTGTCCAGTACCATTACACACAGTGGCCAGACATGGGCGTACCCGAGTATACACTACCAGTCCTCAAATTCATCTCTCGATCTTCAGCGGCCCGTACGTCAGGCACAGGCCCTGTTCTAGTTCACTGCAGGTACTGTCTGCTATGGAACTAAACTCCACCCACTAGTGTGTGAAACGTGTTGTACTTTCCAACTGTGCAAGGCTTCCCATCCTTACATCATTTTCAGCCGGATGGTTGGAAGTGTTAGACTCTGCTTTGTAGCAAAATGAGATGTTGTTTTTATGAAACCATCTCTTTCTCTGTGTCCCACAGTGCTGGAGTGGGCAGAACAGGCACATACATAGTCATAGACAGCATGCTGCAGCAGATAAAGGACAAAGGCACTGTCAACGTCCTAGGATACCTCAAGCACATCCGAGCTCAGCGCAACTACTTGGTCCAGACTGAGGTTATTACCTGTTTGATTTATTACACTATATTTCCATATACTCAAAACGCACACTCAAATCATTCACCTTTGCTGTTTTTTGAAGGTAATATTAGTGTACTGCTTACGACATACTACATACTATTTGTTAAATTTGTATGTGGAACTTGTTCTTGTTCTTGTTTCTTTATTTATATAGCACCATTTAAAACACAACCAAGGTTGAACCAAAGTGCTTTACATAAAAAGTACAAGAATGGAAACAAACATCGACAACATAAAACACCACATCGACATATAAAACACCACATCAATCATTGTATGCTACCAACATTAGATGTGCTTTCAACAGTTTCTTAAAAATTGACAGTGATTTGGCAGACCTGATCGGCAGGGGCAACTCATTCCAAAGTCTCGGCCCTATCACAGCGAAGGCCCGATCGCCTTTATATAGGCGATTTGTTCTAGGCACTACAAGTAATTTTTGATTCTCTGATCGTAATGTTCTAGGAGGATTATATGGGATTAAAAGGTTTGCCAAATACAATGGGGCCTGGTTGTTTTTGTCAAGATTTGAACACGAACAATAAAATTTTATATATTTAATTCTAAAATGGACTGGGAGCCAATTTAAAGAAACTAACACAGGGGTAATTGATTCATATTTCTTTACCTTTTTTAGTAACCTCGCCGCCGCATTTTGTACTGATTGTAGTCGAGACAAAGATGTGGCGGTGATGCCAGAATACAAAGAATTACAGAAATCCAGCCGTGATAGAATAAAGGCATGGATTACTCTTTCAGAGTCTGAGTTTGTTAAGAACGGTTTAACTTTGGCTAATAAACGCAAATTATAAAAACCAGCCCGAACCACTGAGTTAATTTGCTTATCTAATTTTAGGTTATTATCAATTAGGAAGCCTAAATCTCTTACTGTTTTTTTCAAATACGGTGCCAGAGGGCTAGCATCTAATAAATGTTTTGTGGAGTTATTTGGGTGGCTAAAATCAATGACCTCTGTTTTTTCCTCATTTAGCATTAAAACATTTTTCGCCATCCAATTTTTTATGTCCTTTAAACACTCTAGAAATGACTCTTGCACAATATCCTGCAGCATAGTCGAAGTAATAGGCTCAAAAACCCTCAATTCAGCAATGCAAGCAGGATAGTCAGATGGATCAGTTTTCACCAGAGGAATCTGCGCAGGTTCATCAGCAATCTTTTGGCTAAAAAAATTATTATCAATTAGGAAGCCTAAATCTCTTACTGTTTTTTTTCAAATACGGTGCCAGAGGGCTAGCATCTAATAAATGTTTTGTGGAGTTATTTGGGTGGCTAAAATCAATGACCTCTGTTTTTTCCTCATTTAGCATTAAAACAATTTTCGACAACCAATTTTTTATGTCCTTTAAACACTCTAGAAATGACTCAAATGAATTTGTGGAATGTCTGATTGGTAAATACATTTGCGTGTCATAGGCATAACAATGAAATGATACACCATTCTTTCTAAAAATGCTGCCCAGAGGGAGCAAGTATAAAGAAAAAAGTATAGGAGAAAGGATAGAGCCTTGCGGAACCCCCCAAGGAAGATGTTTTTTACCTGAGATTGTATTATTATAATTAACTGAAAAACATCTATTGCTCAGATAGGACTGAAACCATTTCAGGACTGTACCCTTTAGCCCTACTGAATGTTCAAGACGGGAGATGAGGATGTTATGGTCGATCATGTCAAAAGCTGCACTCAAATCAAGCAACACCAAAACAACATCATCTCCTTTGTCTAAGGCCAGGAAAATATCACTTAACACTTTCAATAATGCTGTCTCAGTGCTGTGGGCTGTTTTGAACCCCGACTGAAACCTTTCTCCTATAGAATTTTCGCTTAGAAATGAAAGTAGTTGTTGCAATACAACTTTTTCTAAGATTTTTGAGGCAAAGGACAGCTGAGAGATTGGTCTGCAATTCTGCATTTCATCCTGAGCTAAATTTGGTCGTTTTAGCTGAGGTGTCACCACAGCATGTTTAAACTCTAGTGGACATATTCCACTAGACAAACTTTTGTTGATCAGATGTGCTAAACTCAGTGATACGCAATCAAAGGTCTGCTTTAACAAACGACTAGGTATGAAATCATTTGCACAGAATGTAGGTTTCATTTTTTGCACAATATCCTGCAGCATAGTCGAAGTAATAGGCTCAAAAACCCTCAATTCAGCAATGCAAGCAGGATAGTCAGATGGATCAGTTTTCACCAGAGGAATCTGCGCAGGTTCATCAGCAATCTTTTGGCTAAAAAAATTTAGAAAGTCCTCACAGGAAATAACTGAGGACTTTTGATACACATTACTCAAAGGTTGAATTACAGAATTAATAATAGAAAATAAGAGTTTTGAATTGTTAATATTTGCCCTAATAATGTTGGAGAAGTAAGTATTTTTTGCATTTCTTACTGCCTTTTGATAACTAAATAGGGAGTCTCTAAGAATATCATAATGAACTTGTAATTTACTCTTTTTCCTATGGAACTATGTAGCATGCAATTAAAAACTATTCCAAATGTAGTGCACTACATTTTGTCACATGACCTCATTATTTTGCGTGTTGCATATAAGGGTTCTTTTTATTAAACTAAAACTATTAAAAATAAATGATTTTAATTGAAATAATGCTGAATTAAATATAAATATTAGATGAAAAACAAATTAAATGGAAACTAGAAATGTTTCCTTGGGTGATTTTTGAAACACACAAAAAACTGAAAATAAATAAATAAATAAAAACAACTGAAATAAAAATAAATTACATCTAGTGATATCAAAAAAAGATGAACGCTGAAAATATAAAAATAAAAGCTCATTTAAAATATTAAAAACTATAATAATACTAATAATACTAAAAATAAGTAATAATACTATTCATTCAGAATTTAATTCTAATTTATTAATTGTATTAATCATTCTAATAATACTAAAATAACACTGTTGCATATATAGCATCCAGTTAATAGTTATTTTGCATTTTGTGTATTTACTTTTGCCAATCCAGTCAAATGTAAGGTCAATTCAAGCGCACTGCATTGTGGGAAACAGTATGCAGTGTTTTTTGATTGTATTCTGCGGATTTTGGCAAATGTAGAAGGTCATTTGGGTATAATAAGCATATAGGACATTTACATACTGTTTGCACTCTACATACTGCATACTGGAAAAAATAGTATGAGTAGAATTGCAGTATGCCATTCTGAACTTAACCATATTTTGTTATTTGCAAATATAATGTTGAGATATCACATGCCTAATACAACATACGGTGTATGTGTGACCTACAGGAGCAGTTTATCTTTATCCATGATGCATTAATGGAAGCTGTGCTTGGCAAAGACACCGAGGTGCCTGTCTGGCAACTCCATAGTTATGTCAACAGCATTCTCACCCCGAGCCCCACAGGACAAACACGCATGGACAAACAATTTAAGGTCTGGACTTGATGACTGTGTTGTGGCTCTATGCAATTGTATTGAGATGTTCATTTTCTCAGTTAGACAACTAACTTGCTCCTCCTTGTGGACGCTCTTGTAATTGTTCCTCCAGTTGTTGACGCAATGCAATTCTCACCTCACTGAGTGTTTCAGTGCCCAGAAAGACTGCAACACAGAGAAGAACCGCACCTCGTCGGTCTTGCCAAGTGAGTCGCTAAACCTTCTAAACCCATATATCAAAATCAACACTCCAGCTTCGTTGCCAATATGGATTTTGCTGTATACTTAGTATACAGTGTAGCACAGTGTGGTGGCACCATTTTTGTTATTTTTTTTTTTACAATAAATAATAGTTAAAATGCAAAAAAATTGTTTTTTAATAGTATAAAAAAGTTTACATCTTAGTTTTTTTCTATATCTACTTGTGTGTGTGCTTTACAGTATATTTACTACACTGTACTGATTTCTAGATCTACTTTTCATATGATATATTTATATTTGTATGTATGTGTGTGTATATGTATGTGTGTGTGTGTATATATATATATATATATATATATATTTATTTATTTATTTATATGTATATAAAGAAAACATATAACTTGGGATATTTTTGTATTATGTATTTACTGTTATAGTATTTATTAATATTTTGAATTAACTATAATTTTTATATTTTCAGACTTCATTTTAATTTTAGTTTAAATTTGAATGATTTTATGTTGTTTTATATTTCCATTTAGCTTTTGTTATTTTATTTCAGTTTTAATTTAAGGTTTTAGTACTCAACTTATTTAATTCAGTTAGTTGAATTTAGTTGTATTTTTTTCAATTTTCTTTGTATTATTTTTTAAATGACCAACTATTTTAATGTAGTTTTCTTTTTCGTTTTCATTTTGAGTTTTGAATTTTGTTAGCAATAACAACACTGCAAATCCTAATAACCATTGTTACCAAATTATTTCCATGGGAAAAAGAACAGAAATATCCAAGGGAGTTGGCCATTTTTTAATTGCTGAGTGTATAATTGACGTCTTCTGGAAGATTAGTTTTAAAAAAACATAAGGTGATGAAGAATGGTAAACGATAGCATTTTTAAACACTGACTCAATGAATGATACAGTACAAGGTTTGGTTTGCTGTGACGGTTATAGTGAGTTGTTTATCATTGATGTTTTGCCCCTCAGCGGAACGGGCTCGGGTGGCACTAGCTCCCCTCCCAGGTGTAAAAGGAACCGACTACATCAATGCCGCCTACATTATGGTACAGCACTAAGAACATTATACATTGTTTTGGATCACATTTAATAATGCATGAAACATGAATTATTTGTGTAACTTAAACAGCTCCTTATCTGCTTGTCTCAACACAAGCTGTGATTTTCTTTTAGAATGAAATCAATGTTTATCCACTCACAGGGCTATTACAGGAGCAACGAGTTCATCATTACCCAGCATCCTCTGCCCCACACAACCACAGACTTCTGGAGGATGATCTGGGATCATAATGCTCAAGTTATTGTGATGTTGCCAGACAACCTCGGCCTTGTGAGTACAGCGTTGAAGAGCTACTTATGAACATGAGTTTTCATGCTGCCTCATATAACTTAAGTTCTTTTTATACATATTCAGCAGGTTGTGTTAATGCACTCTCAAACGTTTCATACCAGCAGGTTATCATGGCACTTATCTTTAGAGTTCAATTGAATTATTACGTTATATAATACTGAGTTAACTTTTTTTTTAAATATCTAAAGAGCACCCTTTATTCAAGACATATTATATGGAAATAGGTCATTTCTGGTTTACAATATATTACTTAATTTGTTTAACATTTATTATAAAATCATTTGTATTTGCTTGTAAATCTATAAATATTAAATGTGGAAACATGCTCAACATTTATTAATTAGTTTAATCTGTTAACGTTATATAAGTGGATGATATATGATATGATACAATATATGATAAGATATGATATATGATATGTGCTATGCCCTGCTCTTCTTTTTATAGACTGAGGATGAATTTGTGTACTGGCCCAGCAGAGAGGAGCCCATGAACTGCGTAGCCTTCACTGTCACCCTCATTAATACTGACAGACTCTGCTTATCTAATGAGGAGCAACTCATCATCCACGACTTCATCCTAGAAGCCACACAGGTACCTCAGTCACAACACAAACATCACTCTTAAAGGCAGGGTAGGTGGTTTAAAGCCTCTTTACATCCCGAAGTTAAGTGGTCTAAATGTATTTATATGGTCTGTGGAAGGGGCAGGACCATAAAATGTTCATCCAATCATATCCCCCGGCCCGAGTGCTACGATAGGCTGTCTTACCTTCCTGTCAACATGTGTATTTGCATACCTCTTCACACCATGTTCATGCAGACATGATAGGTCATCAGTGCATTCCATTACACTATTGCAGACCGAGCCAGAATGGAAGGCGTTATTATTGTAATATTATGCGCTCTGTACTGTAATGCTTTCTCACTGGTGAATGAGACGTGAGGTAATCTGATGGTGTTGCGTTCAACCCTTCACCAATGCCGTCTCTCATCGTGTCGCTGGTTAGCCTCTGATCTGCCTATGCGCATTCATGTGTTTTGAAGGAGGCGTGGCTTTGGAGAGTGTTTTGCAGGGAGGGTGGGATCTTATGTTTTCAAAGCTATCTTGCTGTTGCTAGCCTCTCCCGAAATCACCTATCCTAACTTTATTTTTGTAAGAAAAATAACCATATTTAAAACTTAATAATCAATTTAATCTAGCTTGCGCTCATACTGTTGTAAACGGAAGCAGTTCTGGGCAGATGACGTAGGACGTCGGCGTTGCGCATGCGCCGCTCAGAAGTGACGAACGCGGAAGCGCAGGGGAGAGATCAAAACAAAACAACGGTCACTAATTAGAAGTACAAAACGAGGATTTGTATAGAAGAACGTTGGAGGATTTCGATATAAGCCAAGAGGAGACTGGTTTTCCTTTGCTAAAGTAAGGAAACTTTGCTTCCTTTGCTCCTGTAAACAAATGTTGGTTTTCACGAGACTCACCGCCGCATGCGCAACGCCGACATCTTACGTCATCCTTTTTGCATTTATCTGCACTTGCTGAGTTGCATAACTGTTTATCTTTGCTGTGCAGGACGACTATGTGCTAGAAGTCCGACATTTTCAATGTCCAAACTGGCCAGATCCTGATGCGTCCATCAGCAGCACATTTGAGCTCATCAACATCATCAAAGAAGAGGCTATGGCAAGGGATGGTCCCACCGTCATGCATGATGAGTGAGTGCATAAACCATGAGTAGTAGTGTACGTGACCAAAGGGAGAAAGAGACTCATGGATTGTGTGTTTCAGGTTTGGAGCCATCTCTGCCGGGATGTTCTGTGCTCTGACCACACTTTCCCAACAACTGGAGAACGAGAGCGCTGTGGATGTCTATCAAGTGGCCAAAATGATTAACCTCATGAGGCCTGGCGTCTTCACTGAAATTGTAAGTTCCTCATAATAAAAGTCTGCTTGATGATGAATTCGATTTAGAGAGGTCATTGGGGTTTTGTGTAGAAGTTTGATGCAGTCCAATTGGAGTTCCAAAACAGTTTAAAAATGTTCTTTTCATTCATTGCGTTTATTTCCTTTCTTTTTTGTTGTTTCTCTCTACCTCTTTTAGGAGCACTATCACAACCTTTACAAGGCTATGCTCAGCCTTGTCAGCAGTAAAGACTTCAGACTTGGCTTCAACTACATGGACAAAATTGCTGGGATAGTGGTAACAGATGAATCCAACCAGGCTGAGAGCATGGAATCCTTGGTGTGAAGTTTTTGGAAAATGAGATGGAACAAAGTGGTTCCTTGAACTTTCCATGAGGCCTTTTTTCCCAGACTCTTGGTGAAATAAAAAAGAAAAAAAAAACAACAAAAAAGAGCTTTTATATGCTGATAAAAATGAATTCTTTTGATATTTATTTTTGCTGCTTTTTGTTATCCTGCTGAGCGCCACAACCTGCTCTCCAAAACACACACACAAACACACACACACTGTCTACTTTGCACTACACTGTCAGTGTTACTACTTGATGCCTAGCTGATTATTGATAATTGTGTTGAAAACGTTTCTGAGTATCACTTTATTGTTGCCGATAAAGTCTACAGACATGTGAGGGTGATCAGCGACAGCACATTAACACACACATCAGCCTCATAGCCATGAAACCTGTACACAGAAAAGCTCCAACTTAATGCTCAACATGATGCGACTTTTAACCGTCAAGCATTATGACTTGTTAGATTAATATGTTATTTTTTATTTATTAAGATATGTCATTTTATGTCTAACTTGTATACATTATTTCAGTGTGGTATCATAACAGCAACTGTGAACATATATTGTTATCAGTAGCATTTCTATTGTTTTGTAATATATAAAGATATTGATCAAAAAATGTCTTGTTTTCTTTATTTCAGTTATGTTTTCAATGGCCACTTTCAATACATTTTTTATAACAGGCATTTTTTTGAAAAGTTGACTTTTTCTTGGAATGGTGACTGTTCTAAATCATTGCATGACATATTTGGACATACTGAGAATTCATATACTGAAGTAAAAGTACTTCACTGAAAACTACTTACAGTTAAAACAACCCCTTAAATCTAGTCAATGAAACTGATTATGTTCACCTGATACACAGATTAGGGTGACCATATTTTAGTAAAAAAAAGAGTATTAAAACACGCATATACACACACAAAGTATATACAGTATGTATATAGTACTACTATAGTATATGACATTCATTGTTCATTTTGTGTTTCAAGAATGAGGTCCAAGGCAGTGTTAATCTTGACAGCAAATTTTGATTTAGTCTTATAGTCTTTTGACTAAAATGCCATTTTAGTCATCTGAATTGTTTTAGTTTTAGTCTAATTTTAGTCGACTAAATGCCATAAGATTTTAGTCGACTAAATCTACAGTAGATTTAGTTGACTAAAATCTAATGGGTCCGAACCCAATTGTAATATTTATTTGCTCCTTTTCTATTTTGCATTTACTTGTTATTTTACTTTCAATACTTAAGTTTAATATTAAAAAAAATACTTTTCATACTTAAGTACAATAAAAACCACATCCTTTAAAACTTTTACTCAAGTAGGCTATATTCTTTAACTTCTACCAAAGTCATTTTCTGGTAAGATATCTGTACTTTTACTAAGCGTGGCTTTCAGGTACTTCATCCTCCACTGGTTCACAAATCAAACACTTGTCCAAAAAGAATGATTAATTCTCAGATGAGTTTGTTATTCGTATGGTCTAGATTACGGCATATGCCTTAAATACGGGACAAACTGCGCTTCTTTGATGCCTTAAATACGGGCGGATTCCGTGTATTATACGGAACTGTTGGCAGTAAATACTTGACAAATGCGTTCGCAACCATGCAACTGTTACTGAACTTTATACATGAAGTTTGCAAAAACGCACACAATGAATGGCGACTGACTGAAAGCAAAAGAAGAATGCCGGACCGGACGCACTTTTTAGGTCCAAAAAGAGGACAAACGGTCACCCTAACGCAGATGGATAGCGTTGAACAATCGAGGATCAACATTTGGAAACCCATCTTTATTTTATTGTTGTTTTGCGATGACCATTAACCTATATGATTAAATGTCTATTACAACTCAAAATGTTTCGTATTAAACACACTCACACATCACCAATACAAATGTAAAGGTATATCCGAGTTATTCCTACCATGCAGTAATGTCCACATCATATATTTTGTGTCTTAATATACTGTTGAACTTACACAATGAAGTCATATTAGCATTATTATATGTTTTCTTTTATCATAATATCACTATTATCGAACGGGTGAATTTGAAATCATTTAACTCTTTTGGTATGAGCAGATGTTGCCATTTATGTTTAAGCTGTGGTAATTGCCTTAACATGATTTTAAAAAATTAGTTAAGTACTATTTGTAAAAAAAACAAAACAAAAAAAAAAACAAGGGAAATGATATTGCTAAAATGTAAAAGACAAATTTAGACAAAAACTATTTTAGTACTTTTACTTTGCTTTCCCCATCACTGAACATCTCGAGTTAATAACATGGGTGTTATACTCATATCTGCCACTAGGAGCACTATAACTCTGAGAGCAGTCCACTAGTACGTAGGGAACGGTGCTTCTTCTGTTTTCATCAGTTAAGTGTTCTGTTACACAAATGACACTGACATCTTTGTTGCATTTAGATTGTTCATAAACATCACTTTGTTTAATTACATTTTATACATCACCAGCAAAGCAAACATCACTGCACACAACAATGTTTGTTTTCTTTCTCTCCACCCGTGCACATGTAAAAGTGAGCTCGCCCAAGTGTGACGTATTTCCTTCATGACTTAGGTAATGCCATCTTGATACGAAAATAGTGTCGCATGAGAAGTGTGTAACGGAATATTATTGTCTTGATATTGTATACAGAGATAGCATTATTTTGTTTTATTCCGATAAGAGCAGAAAACTCACACTGTTTTCCGCGAGAGTTGTGTTCACTGGCTCATTCATTCCCGGCAGTCACATTTTCTGAGCGAGGAGCGCTGCTGCTGGTGGCGCTAACAAAGGAAAATCTGGATCCGAGCAGTTGTTCATTGGTAATGTTATTTTAATTTTGTTTCACTATAACCCATACGTTAATATGTATCTACACCGTATATCGAACTATTCGTGGTCTGTTGAGGCCGAATTTTACTGTTGCTAAGCAATAAGGATTCGCGAGTTGTTCGCACGCGCGAAGTACTGAAGTCGCGCGCAAGGCCCAGCTCACATTACAACTAGTGGAAGGGTTTTTGTTTCATCTCAGCGACTCGATTCTTTTGAATCGGTTCACTAAAAAGATTTGTTCAGTGACACATTTTGATATTTTTAATCGTGATAAGTCATTGAATTATTCGTTCAACGAAACTGAAATACATTATTATTATTATTATGTATTAAATGCGTTTCTACATATTTACATTTACCGAGTATATAAGCATCATAAACAAATTTCCAAACAAATGACAACAACGCACACCTGTTATTTTAACAATAATAGCCTGAATCGTGAATTTCAATAATGCATTTCGTTCACCAACGAGATGTCTCGTTCAGTGCTATTTTGACTCTTATTCATAAACACAGACTCGTTTAGTAAAGGGGGCGTGGTCGTTCGGCTTGTCCAACCAATGATACAGCTCCTTCACAGCCTGCACTCGATTGCTATTGGTTCGCTATAGCGAATCTTTGGTCACTGGAAAACAGTCCGATTTATGAATCAAAGTGACCGAGAAAGATTCGTTCAAAAACATTGATTGTTTCACGAAGGAATCGCCACTAATTATACAATTTACTCACCAACAGCTCGATTTAGGAGAGATGGCCGAGATGTACATTCGCGTCGCGGAGGAGGAGAACGAGGAGCCGATGGAGATCCCGTCAGAGGACGATGGCACTGTGCTGCTCTCCACGGTGGCCGCTCAGTTTCCAGGGGCTTGTGGCCTGCGTTACCGGAGCCCGGTGTCTCAGTGCATGAGAGGAGTTCGCCTGGTGGAAGGAGTCCTGCACGCCCCCGAGAACGGCTGGGGAAACCTGGTCTATGTGGTCAATTACCCTAAAGGTAGGTCATATGATCATTACGAATAAGCCTCTGATTCAATTTAGAATATAAATATGAAAAATATTCCTAATAATTAGCATATTTTATAATATCAAATGACATTATCAACCCTAACTGTTACCCCTAGAAACATGGGTCAAGAATAGGGTCTTTTTTGTGTGCATTTTAGGGTTAATTTATACTTGAACATTGAGGTTATATGTCATAATAACCCAAGTTGAGCACAGTGGGGTAATGGAAACTTCAGCTTTACATCTTTAAAAAATCTGTAAAAAAAAATCCAGTTCATGATTTAATGGGGTTGTTTTTGTTGCATGAAGGGTGATTGACATTCTGTGGATGTGTGAACATGTAACAAGTGAACTTTTCTATTCTAGAAACGGTTCTGCCGGATAATAAGAGGAAGATGGATGAGATCGATGCTTCATCTGCAACGAAGATCAAGAGAGGAGATCAGAAGACTTCAGATCTGATTGTGCTGGGTCTGCCATGGAAGACTACAGAACAAGACTTAAAAGACTACTTCAATACGTTTGGGGAAGTCATCATGGTGCAGGTAAGACATACTGATAAAAATATAATTCTCCAGCTGTGCTTGTCTTTGTACTGCCATATTTTGGTGAAAGCAATCCATGATTTCTGTCTCTGTCTAATGTTTCTAACTTTTTATGTGGCTCAGCTGTCAGTCATGAAGTCAGAGTAGATCTGGTATGAACGCAGCTCTTGACTTGATTCTGTTACATTAGGTCAAGCGGGACGTGAAGACGGGAAATTCGAAAGGATTTGGGTTCGTGAGGTTTGCGGAGTGGGAGGCTCAGGGTAAGGTGATGTCACAGCGGCACATGATTGATGGCAGGTGGTGTGACTGCAAACTACCCAACTCAAAGGTTAGTGTTTTTGTTTTTTATGCTACAGTTGAAATGTTTGGGATTGGTACGATTTTTAATGTTTTTGAAGTAAGTTTCTTATGCATTTATTTGATAAAAATACAGTAAAACAATAATATTGTGAAATATTACAATGTAAAATTTGTTCATTTTAATGCATTTTAAAATGTATTGTATTCCTGTGATGGCAAAGCTGAAGACATTTTTTTTTCAGGATTGTTCGATACTTAGACGTTCAAAAGAACAGCATTTATTTGAATTAGAAATCATTTGTAATGGGCTGTAATTTGTAAAAGGCTACGTTCACACTGCAGGCAAATGTGGCCCAAATTCGATTTTTATTTTTTTGTGTTCATATTGTTCTTTTGAGCATGCGGGTCAGTTCAGAACCATGATCTGTTCACACTGGAAATCTGATACTGGCCACATTTAAAACAACAATGTGAACAGCTATACAAAAAAATCGGATCTGAGCAAAAATCAGAATTGAGCACTAAGACTCGCAGTGTGAACTTAGCCTGTCTTACTTAAAAAAAACAACAACAACGCTTACTGACCCCAAACTTTTGACCAGTAGTGTATATGAAGAAGTATGTATGTTAGTCTGAGGCTTTTAATTTTGGGGTGCTAAACAGAATGATCTTTTTGAAAATTCAACAGCAAGGTCCAGATGAGCCAATGAGGAGCAGGAAAGTGTTTGTGGGCCGTTGCACGGAGGACATAACCGCTGATGAGCTCCGTCAGTTCTTCATGCAGTATGGGGAGGTCACAGATGTTTTCATTCCTAAACCCTTCAGAGCATTCGCTTTCGTCACCTTTGCAGATGACCAGGTAAGCTATTGTTGTTTTTAGGTGATTAACCTAAAGGTATAGAAAAAAAAAAATTAAGCAACTGTGACAAATTGTCAGTTCTTTTCTATTCTGGATGGAGAAATCAGCTGGTCATGCATACATAATTAAGATGTCATAATTAAGATTTTCCATCTTCCCTCCAGGTTGCCGCCTCCCTTTGCGGAGAAGATCTGATCATCAAGGGCGTCAGCGTGCACATCTCCAATGCTGAGCCGAAACACAACAACACTAGGCAGATGATGGAGCGGGCAGGGCGCTTTGGGAACGGGTTCGGAGGTCAGGGTTTCGGAGGCAGCCGTAGCAGCATGGGGGGTAGCTCCAGCAGTATGGGAAATTTCAGCAATTTCAACCTCAATCCAGCTATGATGGCTGCCGCCCAGGCCGCTCTACAGAACAGTTGGGGTATGATGGGAATGTTAGCACAGCAGGGTCAGTCGGCAACATCTGGCACGAGCACAAGCGGCACGAGTTCCACTCGGGACCAGACCCAAACATACAGCTCGGGCAACAGCAACTACAGCAGCTCGGCCGCTCTCGGCTGGGGCTCCGGCACTAACTCTAGCGGTAGTGGGTTTAACTCCAGCTTTGGGTCTAGTATGGATTCCAAGTCGTCAGGGTGGGGTATGTAAGCTGGTTTGAGTTTGTAGTGTCAGTATTTCTAGCGTGTTTGGTAAGTATTTTCTGAGAGACTTATCTCGTCACGTTTTTGGGAGTGGGGATGGGTGAAAAGGTAGTCTGGGGACAAAAAAAAAAAAAAAGAAGAATGTTTTGTACACTGAATGGGATTTGAGTTAGTGTTTTGGAGTAAGATGTTAACCAGGGTGCTACGTTTATATGTACCATCTTTGGTGTTATGTTTTTCCCCCATGTTTTATTGTCTTGGTCGATGCAAATGAAGCATTTCAACTAGATTCTTATAATGCATGTTGTTAAAATCTGTGGATATCGGAATACGCATGAGAATTGCATCATATTTTAAGTACATTTATCATGTAGGACAAAAACAAACAAACTTGCATTGGAAAGAATCTGGTTGAAACCTGAACATATTATAAGTTCAGCTTTATTTCAGTCCAGTTCAGCTTTATTTCAGTCCAAACCCTTTAAAACAAGCCTTCATCAAAATCTCTTCTGCAGTTGACATCTGTGGGGTTTGCCTGGGAAGAGCACCCTCTATGGCAGCACAGTGTGGCTGAGGTCATTATGCCACCTTCCTCCCCATGTCTATATGCTCTCTTCGCACGGCTCGATGACACGGTGGGTGTCTCTTTTTTTAATCCACTTTTTAAGACAAGAAGTGCGCAGAAAGTGACTTTTTTTTAAAACAACCCTTGAGTGCGATTGGTGATGATGGCGAAGAGTGAGAAGGCTGCGAGTGAGCGAAGAAAGTGTGGATCGCACGAACGAAAAGACTTGCGAGTGCAATGAACGAGCCGAAATGTGACTGCAGTGGGTGGGTTTGGTGAGCGTGTGAATGAGAGCTGCTGATACTACCCAGTTTCCCCCTTAATTGAGCCCAAATTGATGGACATTTAGTACTGTGTACCTCATGGATTTGTTTTTTGTTTTTTTGGTCTCCCTAGATCCCCCGTTTTGCTTTTCTCCTTTAGTATACTGACAATGTGCTTATATAGGAATGTTGTGATGATGATGCATACTTTGTCTTGCTTCTTATAATCCCATCTGAATGCTGTATGGTGTGTGTGCTTTATTTCCTTGTAACTTGATCTATAAGTGTGAACTGATGTGGATGACATCTTCAGTGGACACTGAGGGGGGAAAACATGAGTGATGGTGTAAGTGCGACCTGTATGTTGAGTGCTGTGGATGTCTGTGGAGTTTCCCTCTAGATAACGTCGCTCAGTGTTTTCAAAGGCATTTTATATTGTCAAATGAAGGGAGTGCTTCAATAAAACTAATTTGAATAGATTGCCGTTTTCTCATACTGGTTTGTCACGTGATGTTTGAAATGCCACACAACTAATTGAATTCACACATTTAGGGGCCTGGAATATGGCTGGCCGCAACTGAAACCCAGGCGGGAAGTCCGTTTGGGGATGGAGGAAGATGGAGGATGCTGTGGTTCTGCATCTCTGGTAACGGCAATGGACACGGTAGACTAGCAGAATTTGATTGACGTTTCAGGATAAGCGCTTTTCTCAGAACCGTTTAAGCCCAACACATTTCAATCTGTATTTTCTGCTGAAAACGTCCTGAACTGAGATGGTATTAGGCTTGATCTGGTTTTGAGAAAGCAGCGCACTGTATTAAAATGCAGGCAAAGACTGGAGGTCTTTTTTTTTTTTTTTTCCCCAAGACCATTTTTTTTAAATTTAGATTGCCGTTTTCTCATACTGGTTTGTCACGTGATGTTTGAAATGCCACACAACTAATTGAATTCACACATTTAGGGGCCTGGAATATGGCTGGCCGCAACTGAAACCCAGGCGGGAAGTCCGTTTGGGGATGGAGGAAGATGGAGGATGCTGTGGTTCTGCATCTCTGGTAACGGCAATGGACACGGTAGACTAGCAGAATTTGATTGACGTTTCAGGATAAGCGCTTTTCTCAGAACCGTTTAAGCCCAACACATTTCAATCTGTATTTTCTGCTGAAAACGTCCTGAACTGAGATGGTATTAGGCTTGATCTGGTTTTGAGAAAGCAGCGCACTCTATTAAAATGCAGGCAAAGACTGGAGGTCTTTTTTTTTTTTTTCCCCCCAAGACCATTTTTTTTAAATTTGTGATTTTAAATATTTTATACAATGTGTATTGTTTCATAGAGCTTCATACTGCCAACAAAGAGATGTTTACAGGATTCTTTATTACAATAAAACACGAACTCATGATTGAGTAAAAAAAAGATTGGTGTTTTAGAATTGAATGTGATATATGTACAAATATTTGCACAGCTGTTTTTTTTTTTTTTTTTTCCCCAAGACCATTTTTTTTAAATTTGTGATTTAAAATATTTTATACAATCTATTGTTTCATAGAGCTTCATACTGCCAACAAAGAGATGTTTACAGGATTCTTTATTACAATAAAACACGAACTCATGATTGAGTAAAAAAAAGATTGGTGTTTTAGAATTGAATGTGATATATGTACAAATATTTGCACAGCTGTTTTATTACTACATGCAAAAAAACAACTTCTTTGTACAACTCAAATGTGAATAATGAGGATTTGTTCATTTATTTTGTCCAGTCTTCAAGCTCATTCTCCTCCTCAGCTTCCATGTCTTTACTCTTCCTCTTGGCAGCATTCCTCTTCCTCTTCTCCTTCAGTTCTTGGTTGTTCAAAGCCAGTTCTTCGCTTTTCTGCTGAATGTAGTTGTACTGTGAAGGTATAGCAAAGGTACAATGTTTTTTCACTCATTTGATAGAACTGTAAAATCTAAATGCGCTTAAATGGCAACATTTCCTTGTAACTTACAAATATGATACTGTATTAAATATGATGTAATTACATGAGAACTTAAAAATCCTGTTAAATTTAAAAAGTTAATATTTTCATTAACAGTTACAATATTTCACCACTTATGTACTTACGTTTTTTATATTAACTTAAATATTGACATTTCATGTTTTGTTTATCGATTTTTTTTTAAAATTCAGAATAAATTTATAAGATTTGTATGAAAAATGTTATTATTTTTATTTTTTTTTACTATGACAAGACTTCTGAACACAATTACCTTAAGGTTGTTTACCTTAAAACCAAAAAAAAATTACATTTTTAAAATGTCTTTTTTTGGGGTGGGGCCTTGCACATGGATTGCAAAAATATGTTTTAATGTTTGATTTCTGAAATCATTCTACCAGTGCAGTGGTTCTCCTCGCTGTCAGCTTTACATCATCTACTGTAACTGTGTGTCTTTTAGCATGCCTGCAAACATTGAAGAGAAGCGTCAGTACAAATAAAGCATCTTTCTTACGTCGTTAATAATTACTGAGGAGAAACTACATTTGAGGGTGAAGTTTACCTCGCAAACGCTTCCAAGTCCTTGGCAAATATATCTAGAGGGAAGACACAGGAGGAGCGTGAATAAATATTGTTTAATCTCGTCAATGTCACAGAATCAAGCCTTACCGCACTGTCTGAACGCAGTCTCTGCAATAGCTGCTATTGTCTGTTTAGTGATTTGTTTCTCGCAGTCTGCGGCGATGTGTTGACAGAGACGGCCGACAGTGTAGTGCACAGCTGCTTTAAGCCTCTATAAAACCACAGAAATACTGGCAGTATGAGAGAGAGAAAACCCCGAACAGTTCTTTATAATGACAAAAAGTAGCGAAGTATATCATAGACATTACGCATCAGCTGGTCATTAAGTTTTAGTGTTGTAACCTGTTTTTGTGCTTCGTCCTCATCCATTTTCAGTAGATAAATAAGGTAAAGCTCAACTCTGTGCTTTTAGGCGTTACAAAAATAGCGCGAATTGTGTTCTTCACGTTGTAGTGACGGCGTCAGCGTTTATTATCGCCGTAGCAGCGCCTCCTACTGATGCGGAGCGAATGTCAGTTATAGGTACTATATGTCCGTTATATATAAGATAAAGAATATAGAAAGAAATGTTTCTTTTATGGATCGTTCCTCAATATATGATGATGTCACACGGGGAAGTTACAAGTGATTATTTCTGTTTGTTGCTTCCCTAAAAATAAAGCATTCAATACTGTGGAAACCATTGCTGTGTTGGGCTTAGTTGACACAATTGCACATTTTAGTCATGAATTAACAAAATGTAGGAAAACTGTGCCAATCAGTCTCAGTCTCCCCTACTGTTGCTTCCCTAAAAATAAAGCATTCAATACTGTGGAAACCATTGCTGTGTTGGGCTTAGTAGTTGCAACAATTGAACATTTTAGTCATGAATTAACAAAATGTAGGAAAACTGTGCCAATCAGTCTCAGTCTCCCCTACTTAAATATTTGTTTAGATCTTTAAATCAATAAGAAAAAAGTCTCATGCATTACAAGACAAAATACACTCAGCCCTTTGAACTGAAATCAATAATTAACTGCAGTAGGCCTATAGCACTTATAATAAATGCATCAAATATATGCCATTTTCTGTGGAATTTTTTATTGAAACATAACTTTTTTTTTATTGAAACAAAGTTGCTTGTCAAATCGCTTTAACGTGCTACAAATAAGAAAAGTGACAGACTCCTCACAAGACATATTTTTGGAGACACTCTTGCGTTCCTCTATGCTTTCCCCCCTTTTTGTAATGCTATGTTCACTTGTTTGAGAATTGATTAATGCTGAAACCGTCTGTATGTTATTATTCTTCAATAAACTTGCAAGAATTTCAGTTCAACACAATGGTTCAAGCAGTTCTTTCGTAGGTTTGCTTGCAGATCTGGTCTTCACATCTAAGTTCCTTTAAGAGAAAAAACGTTTATTTTGTTTTTTTTGGCATTTTTATACATTTTATCTGAAAATTACATGTATATTGTTGTGTTCTTAAATTTTAAGGCCTATGCTTGACTCACAAGGTAAAGAGTGTCTCCCTCCATCCAGTGTGTCCATCCTCTGTTCTTCTTTTCTCCTTTCTGCAAACACACAAGTTTGTCATTGTACCAGTTGACTGTTGTCTGTGGGAAAAAAAAAAGAAAAAAAAAAATATATATATATATATACAGTATATATTAGCAGTGTTTCTCAATTCTGGGCGTATTTCTCAAACTCTAGACGATGACCACACACCATTGCATTGCCAATCTCTCGTGTGTGTGTGTGTGTGTGTGTGTGTTTTCCACCTGGCATTTTCTGTTGTCCAGTCCTTTGGTGATTTCCTCAAACTCTTCACCGATTTTGAATGAACAGGAGTAGTTGCGGAAAGTTGTAAAAGTTTTAATGATGAAAGAGTCTCCGTCTTGCTCAAAAACTTTCTGCGGCTTTAGCATCCTCGCCATCTTTCGGGTGGCGAAATCAATTCCTGTATTACATATATTACATTGCACAAGGTTAAATCCATATTCTTTGTAAATACATTTACAATACCATTTTCCCTTATTAAAAAAAAACGAAATAACTAAAATAAATAAATATTTAAAAATATATGAATTAAAATATAAAAAATAAAAGGCCTACTATACATATGTGTGTAAAATACCTAATATATAAAATATGAAAACCCTGAGAAATGCAATGAATGACATATTCACCAAGAGCCACCATGTAACCTTCAAAGTTTGGATTGTCCACTATGTCCCAGGTTCCACTGTAGTTTGCAGGCATGCTTGATCCTGTTGATCCTGAAGCTTTTGAACCTAGAAGCTGGAATTGAAAGGTTCATGTGTGGAAATGAGAGAAGCAGATGTGGTGCGTCGTATTTCACAGCAGGTCTGTGTGTAGTAATATGGGGTGATTCCTAGGACACAGTAGCTATTTTAGAGGCTTGTTCAGAGGGATTTCTTTAACTCATACAGGCAGGCAACTTTTCTTGACCCTCTCCTCTAGGTGATGCTTCAGAAGTTGTCTCGAGGCTGCATTGAGGTGGGTTTAGTTCTCATATGGGTTTTATAATTCATCTATTCTAAGTTCACACTGAAAATTCAGTCATCATTTACCCGGTGTGAATGTGGGCAGTGAAGGTTCACAATAAATAAAAGTAAGACACCATAAAATGAAGTCTTCTGTGATGAACTGACCAAAATCAAAATGACCAAAAGTCATTATTAAGTCAAGGTTTTCGAATTACAGTACAATAATAATAAATACGTTAATTAAGAAAGGAAAACTTGAAATCGCATCATATGACCCCTTTAAAATCTCTAAAACTATACTGAGACTAACCACTAGAGGGTGTCATTTGATATTACCCAACCGATGATCTTGCTTCTCCCCCAGAGCTACAAACCTGCTATTCCGACTGTCCCTGAGACCTTTCTGGTAAGTCCTTCTATGAATTTTCTTCCCTCAGGCTTACCTCATTATGTAAATACTTAAAATGTTTCAGTAAGACGCATTTAAGATGCATAAATAATTTTCTTTCATTATAGCTGTACATCTTGCTAATGAAAGTGTATTCTGCTGTATATAGAATCATCTGAAGTGACAGAAACGGCACAATGCTTCACCACTTCTTAGTTCATGCAGCTTTTCAGACCAGCAGGTGGCTTCCAAGAGATCAAAGGTTAAAATTGTAAGGTGTGTGTGTGTACAGACATGTATAACATAAAAATGTTAAAATCAAAATTGTCAATATTGTTTCTTTCTGGCAGTCAGATTGTTCTTTTCATCTTTGCGGCGCTTTTCCTGGCACCACAGTTTTATGTTTTGTCAAGGTAAGCGACCTATAATGTTTTGCAGATAAAAAAAAGCTGATCTCTTTATATAAAATAAATACATTAATATGCGTGTTATCATGTGATGTGATATGCCTAATATTCTGCAGTAATGTTTTCACAGGCCCAAATCTTCTCGCTATTGTGAAAAGCCACTGTTGAACAATCTTATAGCCTTCATTGTGTTCTCTTTTATAGCAACAGGTAATCTGATTTTGATATTTATAAATGGCTTATGTTGCATGCTTTTCTGCTTTCTAATTTGAAATACTAATTATCAACCCTTCTCGCCCCATTGAAGGTTTGGCTGTAGCGCTTACACTCACGGACCCAGTTCCCAAGAGCATCAGGGTAGCTTTTCACTCATTTGGGCTGTTTGCATTTATGCAGGGACTTTGTACAGTCATTCTTACCCTGTCTGCACCTCAGTGTGTAAGTGTGAAATATGGTATTATGATTTTATGTGCAAAAAAAAAAAAGGTTATATATATCACTTTTTATTTTTCTCAGGCGAAGACCACCGCTGAATTGTATATCTTTTCTTTGGTAGTCTCTTGGGCCTGCATACTCTCAACAGGTAAGATGATATACTTGTTTTTTGGTCAGTTCCATTCCATAGTATTAAGTGTAGTAGAAAAAAAAATATATAAAGGAAGAAATAACCATTGTGTCTCTACCCAGCTTTCTTTCTGGTAAGAGGAGGTCTTTGCCTGATTCACAGACTGTTTCCTCATTGGTTAAGAGATACGTGCCTCTGGGGTTGAAAATGAGCCACTGCTGCAGTACGACCTTCTACTGACACTCAATACAGGTGCATCTATTATTTACATGGTTTCAGTGGTTTTCAGACAATTGTGAGGCATAGGTTAAGATAGATTCTATTTAATGACACACGTTTTCACTAATACTAGCATACAAGGGAGGAGAAATGTACGCAGAATGCATACAAATTGTGTTTAGATTTTTTTACACTGTGTTTATAGTCCACACGTTTGGGTTCTATTTGGAACTTTCTGAATCCAAGACATTTTAAAAGAGAAAAAAATACAACACAGATGATTTAAAAAATATATTTTATTGTCATGTAGTAAAAGCACTGCAAAATATGAAATGATGTACGTGATAACATGAAATACGGCTGAATACCGTAGCAAAAATGTATTGAAAACATATAATGGAAAAGCAAGACACTTTATTTAAAAGTGTCGATTCGAATATGTTAATCCAGTCAGCAAGACACAAACGTCATTGTCATTGTCATTGTATACAATATGATCTCTATGATGTTAAACATTTTTGTATTTATAGGCACCTTAATAATATAGGAATCTATTTAAAATTGTGTAAAAACACATAAGGACTTCAATGTGTGTGCATTTATTTTAATGTTTTATTAACATTTTCACATTAGATGATCAGATCCCTGTGGAATGTAATGTTGTTCTGCTTCACTACAAAATGTTAAATCGGTGGTTATAAATCAGACAATGCTGTCCAGCTGTCCATAAACAACTCCTGCCTTGTTTCATAAAGCATGCAATGCTGACTAACATGCACTTCTTAGATTTTAAACAACACAGTATAAAAACAGACTTTACGAAGGTATTCATGTTTAGATATAAAACCATTGTAAGGTGTTGTGCCTTTTCAACTGCTCTACACATAATGAACCTTTGTTTTCTGAGGTATGACAACAGTCTTTGACACTAATACATTGTCAACAGTTCTGGAATGGTTTTATCAAGTAAGGCCAACAATAGAAACTCAAATCCGTCTAAACTTGAAACATTTGTTCCGTCCTAAAAACACTGGATATGCCATCTTAGGTAATGGGCAAGTTTTGTGTACATGCTTTATTAGGATTTCTTAACCTGAGGTTTGTGATTATGTCTGATGAATAATTGCAGCTATGTAAAAAGTAAAAAAAGTAAAATTACAGAGCATTCAAATACACGTTTTATCTGATCACTGCTTGGTCACAAAAAAAAAAGTCGAAAAAGTGTTTAATAAAAATAAATGTTTTCATACGTATCTTCTTCATTGCTTCTAAACAGTTGGATCTTGTAAAATAAGGATTTCAGCACTATTATAAGATTGATTACTTGGAAAAAAGTTATTGTAAGCTACTAGAGTTCCTGAGATTTGAAGTCGTTTATAATGCAATGATTCCATAGCACAATCAAACTGCAAAGTCCTTATCACAGCATTAAAATAACTCTCACATATCACACCTCAACTGGTGTGAAAATTAAACTTCAATTTATACTCCTCAATTATTCCCAATACAGCATTCCATTTGAGCTATAAGCCCTGGTGGGTGGCTTCACTGACCGATTTGTACTGGTCTTTAGGCCATTTATCCTAGCAATGCATCATAGTCAATGTACCATATAAGAGTACCGCTCTTCGGCTGTACTTTGGTGATGGGATACTTGGATGATTCGCCCTTAATTCGGCTGAGTTGACTGACAAGTTCATGCTTGCTCTTGCCCATAATTAAAACACCTACCCTTCGAGCCCTATTGATGGCTGTGAATGTAAGACTCATCCTCTGGTGAGGTTTAATGGGGCTTTCTGTCAGAATTACCAAACGTTCCTCGTCGTTTTCCAACTTGGTGTCCTGGAATAGTGAGGCAGTGTGGCCGTCCTGGCCTACGCCAATCAGGATGTAGTGGAAGCTGGAGCCATTGACATGTTTCTTGATTTCCTTCTCATATAATGTTGGACCACTGTCCTCTTCCACACATAACCGTTGGGTCAGATGCACAGGCATGGGGTGGATGTTGAAGTAGGGTATGCGGATATGCTGAAGCAGGAGATCGTGAATGGACCGGAAGTTGGAGCCTGATTCTGTATGTGGCACACAGCGCTCGTCCACTTGCCATATGTGAGTGTTGCGCCACGGAAAGGTGTAGAGGTTCAGGGCCAGTGCACGGAGCAGTGCCACCGGGCTGGAGCCACCAGACAACGCCAGGTGAAACTGACCTTCTTCATGAATGGCCTCCTCAGCAGCCAAGAGAAGATCAGAAGCCAAGCGCTCCACCAGTTCCTGTGCCCAGGCAGATACCATTTCAGAGCTACGGTACTTCCCTTGCATCACTTGGAAGTTGTCCTCGGCACCAGGTTTGATCACGTTGACCACAGCTTCATGGCTAAAGGCGACCTGATGGCCCTGCAGCTGAAAGTTTAACAGGTTACCATTGGCTACGCCACCTGGATACACCCGTGGAAAGACCCGACTCAGACCTTCAAGGAGGGGAGTCCAAAACTCCCAGGAAGCAAGGAGTCCTTCGGCACTAATAAAGCTATCCTTGCGTCCAAAGAAGACGTGTGAGATCAGCTCACAATAAGCCTCTCTGGGTGTGACCGGTGACTGAATGTAATAGTCACTGAGTGGTAAACCCAGCATGTTCACGTCTTTGTATTCGGTGACCTCTTTCCAGTCACCGCTGCTCGCCAGTTTGGGCTTGAACAGGTTCTTGCTCAAAAGAATCGCAGGGTACTGGAGGGTACCGTGACCCAGATAGAATATGATCTGTTTGGATTTGCACTGAACATTGTTGGGATCCTGGACACAAAATACATCGCTTTTGAAAAGTACACGTGCATAAGAAACCCGTTCATCAAGTGCCTTGCCTGAGGTCATAAATATGGGGATACCCTCGTATTGTGCATTGTCGACATGAACGACCACACCTGTAAAGACAATTATAGTCAACGCAAGCATGGCTAGAGTGATTTTCCACAGTCACACTGCTATGAATCAATGATTATGTTTACATGCACTTAGGAAAACAGTTTATTCCAGGATTTCCACAGAAAGCAGCATTCTGAAAGATTATGTAAATGTGAACGCCATTTTTCTTTCACCTTTAAATGGATTACGAGATTCATGTGGTCAAGTAAATGCGTAAGAGGCATCCTGACAGGTTTTTGAGTACGCAGGTAAATATGAATGCCACCTTTGCACCTTAAACAGCTTTCCCGCTATAAGTGTTTTTCTTGTGCGCATGTAAACATACTGAATGATGTAGCCACAAAGCTCTTCCACTCACCAGCAAATGTGGGGGTCAAGCTGAAGTAGTCCTTTGTTTTATTTAGCTCTTCCTGAACCTCTTCATTGTAAGCTTGGTACTGACCTACTACCGCATTACTGTTATCTACGTGTTGAAGGGAAGCCAAGAAATTAAGCTTGTTTTGTAGTATCTCCTTGCTGTTGGATAGGTTTGCAGGAAGGTTCATCAACATAAGGGTCATGACCTCTGTGAGGTGGTTCTGGAGCACATCTCTGATGACGCCATATTGATCATAAAACTGAATCCGCCCTGTAAACGAATGATAGATATTAACTAAGTGCCAAAGTAATCACTGAGAAGATAAATGGAGAAAGTAACTTTTTGCATTTATAACTTGCATTTATAAGCAACTAAACAGTACCTTTGGCATCCAGGGTTTCCTTCAATACAATTTCTATTCTTTCAATATGGTGCTTGTTCCAGATAGGGTCTAGAAGTTTCTTATTCTCTTTCCTAAATGGCAGAATTTTAGAGACAACCTTTGGGACAGAAAAAAAGTATTTTTAAAGCTCATGTAGATCCAGTTATTTATGTGAAAGTGCACTACCATTCAAGAGTTTGGGGTTAGTAAGATTTTTTTTCTTTGAAAGAAATCAATACTCGATTCATAAAGGATAAACAAGGATATGTTAAAAAAGATTTCTATTTCAAGTAAATTATGTTCTTTTGCACTCTTCATTCATCAAAAATTCACTGTTTCACAATATTATGTTGTTGTTTTTTACTGTATTTTGACTGAATAAATTGAGCTTTGGTGAGCACTTCTTTCAAAAAACATAAAATCTTGTCAACACTAAACTTTGGAACAATAGTTTATGTTAATAAAACAACATTGTACCTGCTTCCCTAAATAGTGGTCAATCCTGTACATCTCCTCTTCTTTCAGCTGGCCTGACAGTTTTTTGTCAAGGGCCTGAGCACTATAAAGGTCGTGACCAAATGGTTTCTCCAGTACCACCCTCAGCCATGCGTCAGATGGGGGGCGGCAGGTGTTGTTGATCTTCTCTGCAATGTCTGCATATGCGAAAGCTGGAACAGACAGGTAGAAGAGCCTCCCTGCTTCGACCATACCCTCCTGTCCTAGCTGCTGTTTGATCTGCTGGCTGAGCTTCTCGTAGTCCTCAGTAGTCTTCAGCTGGTGATACTTGGACAGATGCAGGAACTGGTCTTTGACCAAATCACAACGCTCCACAGAGAGCTCCGGAGGGCAAGCCAGCTCCTTCAAGATCCCAAACAGCAGCGGCGTCCCCTTCTCGGTCGGCGAAAGTCCCCCACCGTAAAATGAGAAGGTGTGTCCTTTGCCTACCTGGTCAGCATAGAGCTGGAAAAAGCCTTGCCACAGGTACTTCCTGGCCAAGTCACCTGTTCCACCCACAACTACCACAGTCACATGCCCAAGACTCTTCGTAGCCTCATGATTATCTGTGTGGCCCCTCTGCCAGAATATGCTGGCCATTAGCAGCAGCTCCCATCTTATCCACAGCATTGTAATATCAAATGTCCTCCCTTTAAAAAGGAAAGATTTTAGGATGTTTGAAAAACCTATTGATGCAAATTCTGAAAAGAGCTCACAAAAAAACTGAAAACCAAACCATGAAAACTATGATTTGTTAAGCATGAATAACCTTTAATGGTGCTTAAAGGCACTGAATTGACTGGAATGCATTCAGAAGCTGGATTATGAAGTTTGCCTCACTGGCTTATTGATGGCTTTATTTCCCCATCTATAACTCAGTATAAAATGAACACCTTTTGCAAACATTTCAGCACTGCAACAAGATAAGACTTTAGTCCCTAAATAAACATTTCAGAACTATTAAGAATTGCAGCTGGATTCTAAATGAAAGTGGGAAAAAATAACTATTTTTATGTAATTATAAAATAAATTACGTTTACACCAATATTTTATTCACTTTTTTGTACAAATACTAATATATATATATGTATATATATATATATATATATATATATGTGTGTGTGTGTGTGTGTGTTTGTGTATGCTTATACATAAAATATCCAATATATTTAATGTATAAAAGTAAATAAACCTAAATGAAGGCTACATGTGATTCCGTGTTTCAGTCAGGTACAACGTATCAAGCATTACAACACTGCATAATCACTATGTGATGTTTCAACACAAAAACCGTTAGAACCAGTAATAACGAGTCATGTCTGCAAGTCATGGTGCCTTTTAATGTTTGAACTTACCAAAGTCCATGAACATATTTTTCTTTACTTTTCTTTCTTATTTTAAAATCACTCAGCACACTAAAATCCTGATAATTTGAGTTCATTAGGTGTGTGGATCTTTACCAGTAATAGTTTTATTGTAATGCATAGAGTATGAGGGCCAAAGGTCTATGGTAAGCCCAAGTGAAGAAGAGGGTCACATATTCTACTGACATACTGTACCTGGACTGATTGGGAATAATGACTAAAAGCAAGAACCACGGAATGCAAATGTAATCTCCCACTGATTATTCCCCCTTTAGAATCAAGGTTAAACCACCAGCCCCAGAACAAACAGACTACATTTACGGTAAAAGACCTGAATGAAATGAAAGGTCACACAACTTGGCCAAACAGAGAGGAACCAATATATAAGGTGACAATAGTTTATGTTAGAGTTGAGAATTGCAGGAATCATTCTGACATATCTAACAGAAAACGGTCAACCAGGACGAGTCTAATTTCACGATAACTCATGTTGAGCTTGTGTAAACGCCAAAGATGACAGAGTACATGCAACCCTAATGCGCCTCAGACAGAGCAAGCACTGTTTGCACATTTGGGTGTTGCAAATTGTTAAACACAGAGGCACTATCTAGACTTAAAATAAATACAAAAATTCCTTGAAACAATCAAGACAAAAAAAATGAGCATAACAGGATGCAATAGAGTTAAATAAACAGTTGCTGCACAGAACTGATGCAATTCAGCACATACTCAGGTCATTCCTCCTATTCATATTATCTTTTGAACAAAATACACATTATTACATTTGATTAATTATAACTTTATTATTTACATAATGACATCAAAATCATGTCACTTAACCTCATTAAGGGCTATTTTATCCAATGATGGGGGCACCAAAATAATTTATTTAAAATGTGTGAATTAATAATACGATCCAATTAAATGTGACCATATATCGGTTTCTGATGGGAAGTACGTTTATTACATTTTAAAATATGAGAATGCACTGTATTAGAGGCGGACGTGAGTATACTATCATCATCACAAAGTAAGTTACTTAAACAGATTCTGACAGCAGCACCTGTTATAGCTAACTGACACAGGCAGGCAAATAAAAAGATAACATTTTAAACTGTAATGTACATAAAACAACTGCAGGCAGAGTGACACATACACAAGGACAAAGATGAATTTGACAGGGAGAGACTGTGAGGACATACCTGATTCACCTCTGGACTGGACGTGTCAGCTCGAGCGGAGTGGACTGGCGGATGGTGACACTACAAACAAGCGTTTCCAGTAGATGGTCACGTGATCGTGACGCTGGTTAGTGTTATGGTTTGAGTAAATATCATTCGAGATTTTTTTTAAATATGTTGACTGATAACACGGGGACTTATAAACCCGTGAAGTGCTTAAGGAGCTATTAAAACACACATTATTTAAGTGTAAATATCATAACAGAGATATTTAAAGCTCCCTTAGGGGAGATTTAAAAACGTGCGTGTGCTGTGAAACAAACAATTAAATTAATTGCATTCTTTGACAGTACCAGTTTAAAGTCCGTGTTGAGAAGTCAGGTAGGTTGTCTGCATTTTAGCTTGGAAAATATTTATTTATTATTTATAATATAATTATTTATTACTTAATTATCCAGAATTTGCATCGAAAATGTAAATCCACTGTTATGCAGATCGTGTGTTGCCCAGAGGAGGGCGATATTTGCCAATAGGTGCTGAATGAATTACTCCAAACGTGGCTTTCAGTGAACAGATTCCCCTTGTCAAGGTATAACATAAAAAAAAAAAAATGTTATGCTGCAGTTGAATAGAAGGCTATAACTAAATTAAAAGACATATCAAAAGTTTTTCAAAACCACAAGAGTACCTAAAGGAGTTTAGGCCTTACACTTGATTTCACAACATATTGAGCAATTAGTTTTCATCAGTGTGATCTTTAAAACAGTCTTATCTTTGAGTACATGTGTGTGTATTCCTCTCTTGCACATTTCCTTTTTTCTTTAGAGAGCGAATGAGTCTTAGGCAAAGAGTATTCAAACAAGAACCATTCACCTCAGGAAACATGTAAAGTCATTCCCTGATTCAACCCAAGATTTCTGAATCTGCTTTAAAGGGGTCATATGATGCGATTTCAATTTTTCCGGGCGTAACATTTCCGTCAGATGCTTGAGGTATTCGGCCAATCACAATGCACTGGATAGCTGGCCAATCACAGCACACCTCGCTTTTTCAGACCGATGAGCTTTGTAAAAATCGACGCGTTTCAGAAAGGCGGGGCATAGAGGAGAAACAATAATGTACAGTATGTGGAAAATAATGTGTTTTTTGAACCTTAAACCGCATAAACACATTTCATTACACCAAATACACCAAATAATGTTATTTTCAGCAGCATCATATGACCCCTTTAAACCTTCTCGTAAGCATCATTAGTACATTTTAAAAGCACTACAAAAAAATCAGTCAACTGTCTGTTATTCTATAATGAATGCTTGTAATCTATATAAGCATTCAAAAAATTTATTTTGTCAGAATACGCTGACATTTGTGGATGCCCGTCAAAAGAGAAAGATATTCTTTGAAGCCAGATGGTGCAGACCACATCTACTACCAGAGGCTAATGAGGCTATGTTAACCAGTCAAACCTTGACCCCTTGATCCCTAGCAGCCTAACATAGCACATGCTAATGGTGTGAGTTTGGGGTAGGTGCATTCAACCAATGGCAGATGGGGAGTGTTTAGGAAAGCTGTTCGAAAACAGTCTATTGTTCGGAATGAATACTAGCTTGCTAAATACTGCGCAGTGTGCACTCTATACGGACTGTTTAAAAAAAATGTAAGTGAAGCATGCTACGCAAGCTTTCAGTATAATGTTCTTTAATAGCAAACTGTGTTAGTAGAAAACACTTGTGAGTGTCTAGTTGTGAGGTATTTATTGATTTATTTATTTTAGTGTAAAAATGTCTCAGTATGCTCAAACAATAAGTGAGAAAAGAGATTGCAGTTACTGTTACTTCCAGTTGTTGTAAGTTGTTACACAGGAAATAAGTCGTGTGCAGTGCACTGTGGGATACAGTATTCTATGCATATTGATAATCTGCATGGTGTGCAAAATTGCAGAAATAGTAAGAGTAGTATGTTAGCATGATATTCCGAACATAGCTATAATTGTTGCAGTTCTACTTGGTGATGCTAGTGACTCAAACATTATATAAATTTAGGTTACACACACTTCAGTATGATCAAAAGCATTGTATTGATGTTAGCGGCCCATTGCAGGATCTGTTCCATCATATAATGTCATTTCCTACGGCTATTATTGTTTGAATGCTTAGAGTCACTCATCACTGTTTGAATCCAAAACATTTCCTGCAGATACGTGTTTAGCGCGTCTGCAAATGTTGCTACATGTCAGAGAAATTAATAAAGGAATGAACAACTTCTTAGCATTTCTTGGTAATATTTTATTTTTAAGATTTTTATTGGTTTTTAGACAAAAGACATAGCATAACATATATTCACATATAAGGCCTTCCTAGCACAAGACAAATTCCTTCTTTTCTTGGGTCACATCAATCATTGTTACAGTTATCTAAAACTGAAACTTTGTGAAATAAAATAAACTTGTAAAACCACACAGACCTATTAAAAAAAATAATAAGAAAAACACAACTGAATTACTAATGCTTGAACTAAAACTAAAATGAAAATAAAAGCTCATCAGTGCCCCAAAAATCAAAACCCATCATACATATCTCCTACAACAGTTTTCAAAAATCCCCAAAAAAGTAATTCAATTTTCTTTAAAAGCCTAATATACATTTTAAATATGTGCTATTTTCTCCAGTGCCATTTTTATTAAACCATCTCCATATATTTGGTGCCTTTTTTCTTTTCTACTTCTTCTGTAGTGAAGAGCAATACGACTTTTGCTTGTGCTTAGACATATCTATAAATGTATGTTAATTGCTTTCTTTTCAATCTGAGTTTACAAGGGTATATTTGAAATACCAACTTTTTTGTTTCAAGAGATAAAGACATTATTTATTTTATTAATCATACTCTGTACTTCTTTCCAGAATTGCAAAATTGCTTAAAAGTACCATTACAAGTCTTACACTTTGGACAAGTGTCTGAAATATTTTCATCATTAAATGTATGTAATATGTTGGAGTTACACTAACTTGCGTCAACCAGTTGTATGGCCTTTTCATGAAGGTGGTTGTTTTTCCATTCCATTCAGAACAGCGAGGAGCATTGCACTGGTTGCCAGATGCATGAGAGATTTTATACCCAAATGCACATGTACTCCCAGCTGGGACCACACTAGTGTAGGCCTCCCAGCTTGATCACCAGTTAAGGTCAAAGTGAGATGTAAACTGTAAACTAAGTGACAGAAGTTCCTGTTTGTGTGACAAGTGTCTCTGGTGTAGCAAATTTGCTAGTGTGTGCGCATGTGTGTCATGCAGGAAAACATCAGGGAGCTCAGCTGTCGCCGTCTTAACGTGCAGCCAATGGGGCTACGTGTGATTTGAGTGTGTGTGTGTGTGTGTGTTAAAGGGAGCTGGAGGTAAGAGTGGCTATGGCACCAGGGGGCTCATTGTGTGTAAGATCTCCCACACTTCTTACAACCATCCGTGTTCTTCCCATCACCCCCTTCCCACTGCCACCCTGCCACTTGCCTTCCTTCCTATATATTCAAGTGCTTTGTTTCTCCTGAAGTCCTTTGTTCTTCCTCCGGCACAACATTCCAATCAAGCTGAGCACACAAACACATGCATATAAATGTGTGCCATCCTCTTTATTGGGCCTCTTCACCAACACACATTACATTTATCATCCCTGTGTCTAAGCACTGACTAATTTAAAGATCTGCCTGCTACTTAAGAGCTCAATACTGCCAGATTAAGAAAGTGAATGAACGCTGTTAGTTAGGCGGTGGATCAAAGAAACAACACTCCTTTAGAAGAGAACTTGTGAAATATATGCTGACGATATTTATGTAATAATTGTATAGTTAGTACATAAACAACCTCAGCATATATTTCACATTTATACTTCAGTGCATGGTTTTGTGGATTTTAAAAAAAAATTTATTTATTTATTTTTTCATTTGTTTTTCGGAATTCCTGATTCTGGTGTGGTAATGTATATATTTGTATATTGACTGCTTGTATATTTGTATAATGACTGCTAAGTGCGTAACTGACCAATGTTACTAGTAATTGAATTCCCAAATAGCATGTCCTTCATATCACTCTGTGGATTCATTTTCATTTTTCATCTTAAAATAATACATTTTTTAGTAATTAAAGTTATTAATCAAGTTAAATATATGGTATATGTGTGTGCATTTAATTGAATTAATATAATAATATATTACAATATTATATAAAAGTAATATTTTTAAATATTAGTACAATTTAACTGTTTTCTATTTTATTATATTTGAAAATTATTTCTGTAACGGCTGAATTTTCAGCATCATTACTCCAGTCTTTAGTGTCACATGATCTTTCAGAAATCATTATAATATGCCGATTTGCTGATAGCAGTTGTGCAGCTATAAAATAAAAAAAGCGGTGATATATTTTTTCAGTATTCTTAGATGATTGGAAAGTTCTAAAGAACAGCATTTATTTGAAATATAAATCTTTCATAACAATGTAAAAGTTTTTACTGTCACTTCTGATCAATTTAATGCGTCGCTGACGCATAAAAACATTCATTTAATTGAACTTTTCTCATTATTTTAAACCAAGTGGATGTACGAAATCAGTTTTATTTGTTCACACAAATATCCTAGCAGACTAACCACAGATGTAATTCATCACATACATTATTCCGTTAATGTTTGACAAGCAGATAGAGTCCCAAATAATTATGGTCTTATTTTTGAACAGTGTTGACATTGTTTTATAATTTAACAAAAGTCTCTTGTTGTGAAATAAATATAATTGTGCTTACAAAATGTTCTTGCATTAGCTTTATATAAATGAAATGCCACTTGCTTTGATGTTTTGTAATCTTATGCAATGACATTCATTCGTTAATTGACTAAATACATTGTAGTCACTTTAAATCTAAATTCCGTTTATGACTCACTTTTTAATTCTGTTAACTTTGCATTAATAATGTGTTAACATCTTGCCATATGTCACTGGCACATATCCCGCGGCAGCACTCCCTTCACCCCCAGTAAAGGGATCAGTGTAGGATCGGGAGCGTTAACAAAGCTTTTGAAGGGCAGACAGTCTCG